TGAAGTATTAAGTAATAATATATTCCTATGGTTAAAAATGGAAACTGTATGAATATAAAAAAATTTCATTTTCCTATTCACTTTCTCCTCAATATAGCCCTAAATCTAGATGAAAAAGGGAACTTAGTAAGAAAAAAGTTACTGTAGATGAGTCAATGATGACACAGATCTACATTTGTTTCAAAATAAGCCAAGAACCCATTTTCAAAGAGCTTTCCAGATTCAAAATCTTGTCAATAAACCGATGTACTTTAGGAATGACAACACACATCCATCTAGTTCTAGTTTAGAAATGAATGTTCTCTAAACTCACAAAACTTAAAAGTATGTCTTTAACCTTCTTTTCATGCCACACTATAGAGACACAACATGAAACATAAGTGTTTAAAAAGTACTTAAGTTCTTAGGTGAACAACCAAAACCAAAAACAAAACTCTGTAAGCTTTAAAAAAAATGTGTTCGGTAGTCATAGTATAATCAATTTCTTAAATTTACCATTATTAATATTTATAAAAGATTACTTTGCAGAAATAAAGCTCATCATTCATCAAAAACTCAGCACTGGACACATTTATTAACAAAGGAATAAATCATCTTAATTGCACTTTCAAATTTAATAGTCATCTTAAAGTAAAGCTAAAAACACCATTGCTATCAAGCAGCAAATTTTATGGATAGACACCAAATTCTAAAGCCTTTTAAAACTTTAATAATTTTATTTTTTTTTAGTGTCTAAAGCAAACTATCTTTTTGTTTTAAAAGAACCCAATAATATCCATGGTAACTTATTTTCTTCTTGATAGACAAAAATAATAATAAAAAAATAATAATCAACAGTGCCTAAGATTTTTAAAAACTTGTTTGCAAGGAGGTATTTCTGAAGTTCATTTTTTAAAATTTACCAGTGTCTCAATTTTGTTTCCAAGTTGTCTTCCAAGACATGATGGACCTCTTATTTTTTCATTTCATGGCTATCGTATTTCACTGATAATTTTACTGAAAAAGGAAAAATTTTACCCCAAGCCACTTCAATACACAAAGACACACTTCAAGATACTTGGACATGATTCATTTCTGCATTCAGAAATACTCTGTACACATGCTATATGAAAACATAGTTAACAAGATATGAAAATACAGAAGCATGATCCTTTGCCTCACTGCAACTTAATCCTCTTACATTCATTATACTGAATGTGCCTAACCTTGAGAATTCTCCCTCACCTTGAGCTTTCACAGAAAGCTCAAGTACTTTCATAATAATGAAGTAATGTGACTAGTGTAAAGATCCAGGTAACAGGCTGTCACCAAAGCCTCAGTTTTCTCTCTTGTAAAATAAAGTAGTGGGACTATATCTCTTTTCTATTTAAATAGGCTGTTAGGGACTTAATTCAGGGCCTGCTCTATTACTCATAATGCAAAAACCTGTTAACAACCTAATGCAAATTAATATTCCAAACAATGAAATACTGTATGACCCTTAAAAAAAAAAAGAAGCTGTAGATCCCTAAGAGCTCATTTAAAAGGATGTTCCAGCTAGCCTGTTAAAACAAAAATGTAAAATGTCGACACTATGACCCAATTTATATGCATTTTAAGACATATACATATATGTACAGAAATGTTCTTGGATACACAAGAAACTTCAAATGATCATTGGTGGGAAATAGGGTGTTAACTTTTTTTAACCTCTTAGCCTTTTACGATATTTGAAAACAAATTTTAAATAATGAACATGTATTATTTTAATGAATTTTTTTAAAAAGACAACTAAAAGTAAAGATCTGTTGATTCCAGTTCTATAATTAGAAAAGACCTGGGTTCAAATACTGGCTTTGCTATTTAACACGCGTGATGTTAAGCTACTTAACCTCAATTTTCCCATCTGTAAAAGGGAGTTGTTAATTCTAACCTCACACAACCGTCTGCAGAGTAAAAGAAAATCATGCACGGCCTTGACTGATGTGGCTCAGTGGACTGAGTGCATGCCTGAGAACGGAAAGGTTGCTGGTTCAATTCCTGGTCAGGGCACGTGTCTGGGTTGCGGGCCAGGCTCCCAGCTGGGAGTCTGAGAGGCAACGGATCGATGTATCTCTAGCACATTGCTGTTTCTCTCCCTCTCTTTCTCCCTCCCTTCTCCTCTCTCTAAAAGTAAATAAATAAAATCTTAAAAAAAATCATGCATGTAAAACACTCAGATAGCACATTGTAAGAGGTCAACCATTAGCAGCTACGACGACGATTATTGTGAGTGTTATTATAAACCCCACAAACTGAGAGAATTTAGAATCAGACTTGCCAATTCACTCAAAATGACCAATCTCAGAGACAACCAATTTCCTTTACTCAAAACTCATTCAATCAGGTTGTATAAGAGCATATGTATGAACTTAAGGTTAAAAAAAAAACCCTCCAAAACCTTCTCACAGGTAGCAGGTGTGCTGATAGATATGGCAATCAGAGCAAAGTCTGAGTTTTAATTAAGCATCTAACTAGATAGCCTTCTTCATCATATGGATACCTACTCAAGAGGCCAGAAGACTCATGACAACAGGGCGAGAGACTCTGATCTTTACAAAATGGTGAATACATAGAAATACACTTTTTCCCCTGTAATTCAAGCTGCCAACATGAGTTTTTTATTTTAAGATAAACAATTTCTCACGTCCCTAAAAAAAATTATGGCACTAATAGTTTATGCACATAATTGATGATTTAATTACAAATAACATGTCAAACGAGTGGCAATATAAAAATGTAATCTCCATAAAAATGTTTCCAAAAAAGCTTACTGAATGGCTTTTTGAGTGGAACTTTTCTTCACAAAATTTTCAAAAATTCAGGCTGAGTATTATCAAATCAAAATACCCCAAGCTGTAAATCTGGCCTTCATACCAAAAGCATTCTCACAAAGTACCACTCTAACAATACTCAATTTCATTTGTCCAAAAGACCAAGAACACATCCTAAAGTATATAACAACTGAAAAAATGTTGCATTAAGGTAGATTAAATGAACATGTAGTACAACTAGTTTGACCCATCATATTACAATTTTAACAAGCCTTCCTGGTATTAGAGAACAGTTCCAATATCAATATGATGAATTAAAGTTTAGATCATCCCAATTACAATTATAAAACAAAATAAGAGGTCACACATGCATTTAATCCTTTTCAATATGAAAAAAAACGAGGCTCAACTTTATTTACTCTAAGTTTGTCAGGATTTAAACTTTTAGAATAGTAACTATTTCATATCACACAAATGGTTACATCTGAATACACTGAAGAGTTACTGTAGCTTTCCTGAAAGTGACCTGAAGTTTCCACCAAAAATACTGGCACCTCAATGAGGCTCTGAGAACTGCATGCCCACTTCATAGATTTTTGCAGTATGCTGAACTGGCATTTGAAGATTGCATTGAGCTAGCTACATGAAAGCAAAGATAAGGGAACAGAGTTTATAAAAAAAAAGAAAAAGAAAAACACTTCTTAACCAATAAGCAAGAGCGATCAGAAACACCATTTTAAAATACTACACACATTTCTAATTTTCTAACATTCAAAATACAGTAAACAGATTAACCTACGGCAAGACCTTCCCACCCCTTCTCACCCCCACATAGTGCTTTGCCAAGAGCACAAACCCACGTGAAATAACTAATGCAATTTCCTTGTTTACTTAAAGAATTGCAGAAAACATGTTGACTGCTTCCCAGGCCTCTGAAACAAATGACTATTTGAAAGACTTTCACGGTCATGTTTCAAATAAGAGTAGAAATGATTCGTTCAGCTAGTAAAAATATAGTCTTAACTTTATAAAAAGGGTTAACTTTCACACTGCAGTTCATTAGCATGCCCTGTTTGCAACCAGAAAGGGGGGGGGGGCAGCAAAACACACAAGATGGAAAACATCACTACCTCCTTTGGTGGTTATGAATAATTTTAAATGACCTCAAGATGGAAGGGAAGGGTTCATGAATAGAAAGAAAGGGGGTTAACCATCTGAAATGGCCCCTTAAAGATTCACACTGATGTCGGAGAGAAGGAATTTATTTACACTGCAGTGCCTGGCAGCAAACATGGCTGCCCCTGCCCCTTTTAAATCTGAGGAGTCTTTACTCCCTCACCAAAACCATCAAATTACGGCCCTGTCTCTCCCTCTCTCCCTGTCTTGCTACGATAACACTAACACTTCCCTTCAAAACGGTAAAACCCACACCTCCCCATTTCACAACAATCACAACACCATAACCACTTGCTTCTCTATTCTCCAGCATTGAAAAAAAATGCACAGAATACACACAAATATAGGAACAAAAGGCTTTCCCTTCCTAACACTTAAAAAAAACCCTTCCCCTTCTTTTTCCCCCACTCTGTAATGTCGCCAGTTCCTATCATTTTCAACGTTCAGTGAATCTCCTTCCCTATTCCAATACTAGGTCTTCTAGTTTCCTGAGTCTATTTCCTACCTTCCTTTTGCATCCTGTCTCAATCATTTCTCCTCCCTTTTCCTAATCCGCCTTTTCCTCCACTTCCACTCCCTCGTTCCTCCCTTTATGCCCACTTCTCCATCAAAGTCTATCTCCTTCCCCATACTCTCCTAGTCCCCACCCCCTAACACCGAACCTCTCTATTTCTCAATCTACCCAGGTCTCCAAATCTAACTCTGCTCCTCTTTCCCTGCCCCTCCCCCGTTCCATCTTTATCCCCGCCCCCATCCACCTCTACTCCCAATTCCCAGTTCAACACCACTCCATCACTTAACCCAATCCCACCTCCCCTGCCCCACCTCCCAATCCCCTTCACACCCCCCACCTTGCCCTCTGCTCCTCCTTCTGGGCTCCCCTCGAACCCTTACAGGCCACTCGCTTGTCCTCCGATCGCGGCAAGGCTCCCTCTCCCTAGCCTGATTCCAATCCCCAGGTCGCCCCCTCCTCGGCCCTTCCAACACACATACACGCGCGCACACACACAAACACGCACGCATTCACTTTACCTTCAGTTTGTTCCATTCTAACCCCCCGGCCGTGTCAGTACGATCACAGGAGAGACACGGAGGCCCGGAGCGGGGCTGGGGTGCAGGCAGCCGCCGGGGCTGCGGGGGCAGAAGACGGAACCAAGCTAGGCCGCATGAAATCCCCGGGCTAGATTTCCCTCGCGCCGGCTGCCTCTGCCATGGCGGCGTGCACGGAGGAGGGCCACGGTAGGGCCGGGCCGGGCGCCGAGAGGAGAGGAGGAAGGCTGCGGGAGGTGGGGGAGGCAGGGGAGGCGGAGGGATGGGGGACGCCGCGCAGCCGCTGCTACCGGAGAGGAGCCTAGGGCTGGCGGCCGGACCGGGGCGGCAAGGTCCTCCGGGTCGAGACGGCCTTCGCACGCGTCTCCGCCTTGATCCTGGCCGTCGCGCCGCCCGCTCCCGCCGCCGCCACCGACGCCGCGCACAAAGCCCCCCCAACCCCGACTCTCGGAGCGCCGCCGCCGCCGCCAAATCTTCAGCCGCTCACTGGCTGCCGGGCCGCGGCGCCTACCGGGAAATGCAGTCCCGGGTTCGGGGTGCGGGGGGCGAAAGGAGGAAGAGACTAGTCAGCGGGGCGGGAAGGAGGGGCCAGAGCGAGAACGAGAACTGAGCCGTCCGAGGGAGTCCAGACGAGAAGTGAGACCGCTGGCCGGAGAGGCAGGCGGAGCGGAAGGAAGGAGGCAAAGGAGAGTCAAAACAAAACACAACTGGGAGACAGGAAGGCAGGTTAAAGGTTGGGCCTGTGTAACATCGCGCTCGTGCGTGTGACATGTACCATGAAAGCACGTATATTAAACACCAGCGGCACTGCTAGACAATCCCTACGTGTTAGAAGTAACCCACTAACGGGCGCCCGGTTAAGACGACCCGGCAAAGGTACAACAATCTGGGTGCCCCCTTGGCTGGCTTCTGTGCGACAGCTGTCAGAGAAGAGCTGCCTCTTGCATATGGGTCTGCGTCTGGACACCATGGCAGCAATTTCAGGCGCGATCCTCAGGGGCAGTCTCTCTTTCAGCCCTGCCCGCTTCAGCCGGATGCTACGCCCGCTCGCTCCCCTTGGCATTAGAAGGCTTTGGCGGCATCTCAAGCTCCGTAGGAAAGCGCCGACCTCCCCGGCAGGTACCGGCCCGCACGCCTTCTTCCTGCTCGCCCTGCGGGCCCGGAGGCTTGTGGGTAACGAGGAGCAGAGTTGCGCTCCAAAGCACCCCAGACCCGAGGGCCCAGAGGGCCCTGTGCCCATCACGTGCCTGGGCCTTCTGCTGCTCGCTGCCAGAACTTCCTTTCCAGGGATGAGAGGGCGTTTGTCCTAGAGAAAGTTCATGCAAGAATGACACGAGGAAGACGAGTCAAAATTCTCTCTCTCCCTCCCCATCGTAGTAAATATATGTTAAACAATGGAAGGTCCTGGGGACGAGAGGGACGGGGGTGACACACTAAAGTGTTCTTCCAGGAGTGTGCGGATTTGGTGATACTTTCTGGGGGCTGTTTGTAATGACTAGAATGTTGCAGCACAGAGAATGTACAAAGAAAATACAGGTAGCAATTAGATGAGAAACCAAAACTGCTCTCTGCTCTGAGAATAATAAAGCCGTATCACTACTTGATGTTACAGGCTCCATAGATGTTATAGAGCTGGATCTATTTAGTACCCTTACAAGAAATTCCTGATATCTTTAAATACCACTTAAATAAGAAATTAAGTTTCCTACAGATCAATTATTTTAATGATTACTAAGTATTAGCTTGTTCAAACATAACCCTGTTGATAATACTAAGGATGATACTCAGAATTACATGTTCCTGTCACTATTAAGCATTAAATATTTCTAAAACTATGCTTGAGTAATAGCTACACTTTGTGTAGTAACAAACATTGAAGGAATCAATAAATCACATTGTTTGTTTTAAATGCCTAAATGCCCTTTGGGAACACAGGCCTCCAAAGGGGGGCACCTAAGCTTATTTTAGTTTGATTCTATCATCTGGAAAGTAAGGTTAACTTGGTCTTTTTTTCTGCCCTGGCCAGTGTGGCTCAGTAGACTGGGCATTGAACTGCAAAGTGAAAGCTCGCAATGACCAGTCAGAGCACAACGACCCTGGTCAGGGCACACACATTGATGTTTCCTGTCCCTCTCTTCCCCTCTCTCTAAAAATAAACACATAAAATCTTTTTTAAAATTGTTATTACAGTTGTCCCAATTTTCCCGTTGCTCTCCCTGCCCCGCCCACCCCTCATGAATAAATAAAATCTTTTAAAAGTTTGGTCTTTTTTCTTTTTTTGCTATCATCCTTTCTATTTCTTCTGTTCTTTTCCACCTTCCCATGTTTACATTGTTTTATTGATAAACTGCTGCCTTGACCGGACAACTGGATTTTCCTCTTGAGGAAAATCTGTTTGCCCCTGGGGGTTTTATTTTGGTTTTCTTCCAAAACTATGCTGACAAGAGTTTAAAATTAAAGTTATGTTGTTGGCAGCAGTGAGGACACCACCAGGTGTTAGACTTTCTAAGGATGCAAAAATATTCCTCTTACTTCCCTGGGAGACATTTCACACCGGGGGAAATATTCATATATTGTATTCACTTACAACCACATGCAGTGAAAATCATTAAGTATTCATAAACCAGATAAAGGATTCCAAGATCTCTATTTGAAAGATGAGCTATATTTTTCCACTGTGGCCATATGTCAGCAATCCTATTCTGAAAAGGGAAGGGTTAAGAATTTTTCTCATTGAAATTCATTTGTTCAAAGCAATGTCTGCTTTATGTTACTAAAACTGGCAACTTTTTGACTTTCAGGATCAGTGATTTACAATATAAGGAGTTTTTAGCTATGATCTTCAAAAAAGAAACAAAAAAGTTTTTCTCCCGAATTGTCCCTGGTTATTAGATTGCTGTCTTAATGACCTGTTTGCTCATTTCTTTGGAGAAGAGGAAGCATGTTCTGAACCTCAGATGTTAGATGCTAAAAGTGATTATTTTTAATGACCATTTCCCTAAATATGGCTCCAGATCAAATATTATTAACAACGTATTTTTTAATGTTTTGCAAAAAGAGACTATGCATCTACCTCACATTGTGGTAGACAGACATGAGCAGAGCAGGGATGATGGGCCAGGTACAAAAGGTCACCATGGTGGGAAGCCGAGGGTACCTAGAAACAGGTAAAACTGGGAAAACAGAAAACAAGGACCTTGCCCAGTGTAAACTTTCCTCCCCTGGCATATTGTTCACTCGTCATGTGATTTAGACCCCCTGACCTTTCATATCACTGGTCATGCAATTCAGACCCAACTAAGACCTGTCCTTCCCTGGCTTGTGCAAGTCACACAGATTAGACCCCCTTAGTGGGGAAATGCATAAGGGGGCCGGAGAATAGCTTTAAGCATTAAGTCCCCAGAACGATAAGGTTACTCATAGAAAACTATGGGTACATGGTAGTGTTTAATTTATGAAATTGTGAAAATTATACCCTACCTTTTTAGAGCTCAAAATTTACCATTGGGAATTTTCAGGAAAAGAAAAAAAACTAAAAAGACCAAAACTTTGCAGAATTTTTTTAATTCTAGTAAACATAGAATGTGAAGTGAAACCCTTATGTGCAAAGTTGGGCATCAGACAAGCACAAAGGGCCCTCTAGTGGCCAAACTGAAAAGTTTTTGCCTAGTTAACATAGTTGATCCATTTAGTTGCTAGATGAAAAATGCTTTGTGAATTAAAAAAAAAAAAACAAAACCCCCTGAAATTTAATACCCGCCATCTTTCATTCTTACAAATGTGCAGCCCAGATGAGTAGCCTTGTCAGTTAACATGTTAAGCGAAGTGTTTTCCGTGAGAAAGCTATTCCTTGCTGTCTGGTGTTAGTCAAAGTAGAGCCTCAATTTTTTTCTTCCTTCTAGAGCCAGGTAAAATGGATGGGGAGAGAAAGCTAGGGAGCAAACACATTTCTAGGTCTTTCACTTTCCCAAGATGGCTCACTTGCCCGTCCTAGGAACTGAAGTGTCCCCAAACCTGCACAGCTACTGTAACATACATTTTAAGTATTATCTGAGATTTTTACAGAAAGTACTGACCATAAACAATACCTGTTAAGACAACATTTATAAAACAATTTCAGATCACACAGCATTAGTCTTGGGCCAGCGGGGTGTTTTCCTTACCCCTCCCGCCCTTTCTGCCACTCCCTCTTTCCACGGCTCTCCCCGCCTCAGCTGCGCAGCTGGAGGGGGTGGGGGGGGGGAGAAGGAAATACAGAAACATGATGTAATTCGTGACTCCAAGATGGTTACCGTGGCGACTATGAGGCATTCGCGCTAGCGGGAAGGTAAAAAAGCCTTCTGTAATCCAGCTTTCAGTGAAGGGTTTTCAGGGAGGGATAGCCCACAACCTATAGAGACTGGGCAGGCAGAAGAACGTCAGCCTTCCTTCCCGCCCCCCACCCCAGCACAGTCTCCTTAAACTAAACCCACTAGGGAAATAAGTAATCTTGCCTGTGGGAACTAGACCTCGCCACCCTCTGGGATGCTACCACGAAGGACGCCCTCGCGCCCCGGAATTTGAGAGCCCATTGGCGGGTGGTGTCGTCATCCAGAGTGACGTCCCCGGCGGGGAACGTGGTGGAGCCATAGAGACGGCCTCGGGCCCCTCTAGCTTGGGGAACTGGGGGCGAGGGGGATCGGGAAGGGGCTGGAGGACCGAGGCGGCCGTTCCCGGGAGCCGGCCAGAGGAGGTAGGGCTGGGCGGGCCGAGTCCTCACGCCGTGACTTGGTGGGTCGTGCCCGCCGGCCTTCCTGCGGCGCCCACTGCCTCGGCACCCTGCTCCTCCCAGCATCGCCCAGTTTTCCCGACCGCTTCCAGTTGCCCCCGCGCTGTCCTCAGCCCTTGACCTTGTGCTCCTGCCCGCCCAACAACTTTGGGGCTCAGCTTCCATTCCCCCTCTTTGCTGCCGCGCCTCTTTTCTCTTCCGTACCCCGCGCCCTGGTTCTCCTCTACCTTCCATAAACTCGGATCGCCAACGAGGTTCGTTGTCCCCATGCCTGCACCACTCCCGCACCAAAATACGAAGAAACACCCCCACACCCCACCACAGTCAACACAGGCCGTCAACACCACGCGCGCAAAAGCCGCCGCGGCCGGAGGAGGGCGAGGGCGCGTTTAGCCTCCTGTCGCCCAGAGCCGGAAGCAAAGGCGTCGCAGGGCCTGCGGCCGGGCGTGCGGGCGTGGGCGGAGCGTTGCGCAGGCGGGGCTCGCCGCCCGGCCCCACCCGCCTCGGAAGTGGTTGCTTGCACCCCGGAGCGAGTGCCGCGAGCTGGGAGCGGACTCACCGCCCGGCGTGGTCAGGACTCCCTCCGCAGGAGAGCGCCCGCTCTTAGCCTGAGTCAGATGTAAAAAGCATTGTTTGAACTCTTGATCAAAATGTCAGCTCTGTGGTTGAGGTTTCTGTCCCCGAGAGACTCTGGTCCTCTTTTCTCAGCGGCAGAGAAGCAGAGTAGACACTACAAGCTATTAAGGCTCCTTGCTGCCCTTGGCTGAAAAGCGCTGTCGGATGGAAGGTTTCTGTAAAGCTTATTTAAAGGTGTAAAGCCCTGTGGAGAATCACTAGCACAGGAAACCGGTTTACCTCCATTTGAACTATTAGTAGATACCATGTATATCTTCACTGCACCTTAAATGAGTACTTCGAATTTTTTAAAGTTTGGGGCAGCTTGGCCAAGGAAGAGGGGCAGGGGAATCCCAGACATTTACTTTCTACCTGTATTTTTCGGCTGCAAGTAAGTGTACCTTGCTCAGCTTCTTCAATACTTGGCAACCACTTAAGTAGATTACTAAGTACTATTGACCAGAAATCAAAATGTCTTTGAAGACTGTACCATCCTGAGCTGCTTTGTTGGGATCTCAAAGTACCATTCTCAAATCCAGGGCTAAAAAAACAATATTCGTGATTGCTGGATGTGAACTCAAAAGAGATTTTACCCCTTGAATAGGCCATGCAAGTATTCTGCCCTTGAAATAGTTAAAAACACTTAGATCCTGAGATACTTAAAATTGATGTTTTTCAAATACTAAATTGTTTACTTACTCCTTCTGCTTAGGTCCCTGTGTTGACTAGTTGAGACAAATATAAGTATGGCCTTCTACAGTTATAATACAGTTTTAGCTATTGCCCGAACAAGGTAAGCCTTGGAACTTCTCTTCTGCCCCCAGTATTTATATGGATTTTATTCTTCCAGATAGAGAAGATATATGTAAAAAGATAGGCTTAGTAGACAAAGCGTTGTTGGTTTTAAATATGTCGGTTTTTTGGAAGCTGACATTTTAATGTATTTAAACTTATCCCAAATTTTGTGTGTGCTTTAGAACTCAGGTTGAGTAATTTTGTAGATATGTAGTACAGGTAAGATACAAGATGTAATGGTTTTAGAATGACACTTCTGTCATTGATGAATGTTACACGAGGCCCTTAGGCGTAAAAAGAAGTGGCTGGCAAACAAGCCAGTCCTAAGGCCTATATCTGCCCCAGCAAGTTCTGTTATCATTTATTACAAAGACTGTTCTCTGAGAACTTAATATATGCTGGATACACTGTATATCTTCTCTTTTAGCCATTCAAAAAATTTTTATCTTGATATACTTCAAAAACAAAGAATGGAAAAAGCTATCTTTTTGCCAAAAGAAGCCTCTTTGCCAGGAACTTTCTTTGCCTAGATAATCATATATTTTTCCAAACAATCTGATGTGCTAGCTTAACCGAAGATTGTGAGCTATTGCAAAAGTAGAACGTAGAAAGCCCTGGCTGGGGTTTTAGGCCCAATTCTAGTTCTTATTCCTAAGGGGGGCGGGGTGTGTGTGTATGTGGTTTTTTTGTTTTTTGTTTTTTAAGAATCTTAGGTGAAGAGCATTTCAGCTGTAAGTACCTCTCATTTGAGGGATTTCATGAGCTAACTACATAGGCAAGGCAGTCCTATATTATTGATTAACCCCCAAACGGACCTTGAAGAACACTCAAACAATATTCTATTGTCAGTAGAATAGCTGAAGACACAAGTCTTCTACCTGTTTTCTGGTAGTAGATTAGAGGGAGAATTTTCAAACATAACCCCTGGCAGGAAGATATTTGCTATTAGACTTTTAAATGAATAGTCTCAGTTTCTAACTTCTAATATAGCCATTATTTTTAGGAATGAACTTATTAATATTTCTCCTAGAGTATATAATTCAACCATAAAGCTTACTGTACTTCAACTGGGATAAAAAGTTATATTTCATTTACGAACGAATAGCATCTGCTTTAAAATACAGGCTTTAAAACTATCGTTTTATTTTAACCAGATACAGTAGCTATTTCTTTAACTTTTAAGTTTTTAATAGTTTATGCTCAGCTCAGAGGATGTTGCTCTTTATTGCAGATTCCCTAGCCATTTTGTCCATCCGACCCGCTCTTATTTCCCATCACTTGCATTTCTTCACTTGCCAGATTCCCATTTAAATAAAACATATATGAAGAACTGTGGAAGCAAGAAGGACTCCTATCTTAATCAGTCAGGCAATAAAGTACTTTACTTACGAACTAGAATAATACAAAAGCTACACACATCAACTTGCTGGCTACAACAGGACCCTGGTAAACCTCAGCTGGAGCAAACCCCCAAAAAGCCACAGGAAACAAGCCCTCAGCCGAGAACAGAAACTTGTACGAAGACTAAGGAAGAAAAGCGATCTTTTAGACAAAAAATTATGGATGAACTTAAATATTATTACAATGGATTCTATTTGCTTTGGACTGACACCAAAGTTGCTGTCAGAATGATTTGGAGGCTGTTGCATGGACAGGTGCTGACCAGACGAGAGAGACGAAGGGTAGGCAAGAATCATATTTAAGAAAGAAAATGTAAAGTTAAAATGAACTATTTAGGAACATAGTTTTAAACTCAACTTAAAATTCATTTAGAAAACCCAAAGTAGCAATAACAACTGATGGTGTGAAGGAGAATTTCTTACTGAGTTTCTTACTTGTCTGCAACTGACCTGCTGTACAACTTTAGGCAAAAATTCTTAAAATTTGTGTGTGTATGTGAGTGTGTATGTGTGAGTATGTGTGTGTGAGTGTGTGTGTGTGTGTGTGTGTGTGTATGTGCCTACGGAATGGTTATAATTGTTCTTTCTAATCTCTCCTAGGAATTGAGAGGTTGCAGGTTCGATCTGTGCATCTGAAATACAAACTGTTGTTAATATATTAAGTATACGCGTTAAAAAATTTTTAGCAGACACTATATTATTAAAGTCCAGACCCTTAGGTTAGATGAAAGCTGCAAGATACCAATAATATGTTTTGATTGTCATAGATTTCCTTGAGGATATCCCATAAATATTACTTCAGAGCTATGACAAAGACGAAAATCCCGCCTTTCCATTTTATAAACAGCTGCAGAATATATCTTGTGTTTTTAACACTTTAAGAGCCAAAGCAGGCTTTTTAGTTTTAGTTCTTTTGGTGCATCCTAAAATAATAAATATTGCATGTGCATTTAATTCTTTAGCTATTGAGGACTTGTGTTGATATCTTCCGCTTGGTTCCATTTATGGTGTTCATAATTGTACCCTTCATGGAATTCTTATTACCAGTGTTTCTGAAACTCTTCCCAGAAATGTTGCCATCAACTTTTGAAAGTGAATCCAAAAAGGTATGTAGGAATTTTTAACTTTAAAAAAATTAACAGGTTTCACTTTTAAGGTTTACAGAAAAACTGAACAGAAAGTACAGAGAATCCCCAGGTACCTCATCCCCGCTTTCTGCCATTATTAACATCTTGCTTTAGTGTGGTACATTGTTAGAGTTGAAAACCAGTATCTATACATTAAAAAGTTCTCTAGACAGTAAAAAGTTTTGCATTTTCTAGAATGTCATATAGTTGGAATCATAAAGTGTGTAGTTTTTTCAGACTAGCTCCTTTTACTTGACAATATGGTTCTTTCCTGACTTCATGCCTCTTGTCTTTCGATCTTGGCATATTATTTTACTGTATGGATGTACCACAGTTTAGTCATTCACCTATTGAAGGACATCTTGGTAGCTTCCAATTTTTGGCAGTTATGAATAAAGCTACTAAAAATATCCATATGCAGGTTTTTGTGTGGACATAGGCTTTCAACACATTTGGGTAAATACCTAGGAGGGCAATTGCTGGATTGGATGGTAAGACTATGTTTAGTTTTGTATGAAATCAACAAACCATCTTCCAAATGGCACCTATGCCATTTGCATTCCCACCAGCAGTGAATGAGAATTTCTGTTGCTCTACATTTTCATCAGCCATTTAGTGTTGTCAGTGCTTGGAGCATTAGCCATTCTAATAAGTGTGCAGTTGTATCTCGTTGGTGTATTAATTTGCAATTCTTTGTTGGCAACTGATGTAGAGCATCTTTTCATATGCGTATTTGCCATCTTGATATCTTTTGGGGGTAGGTACCTGTTCAAATGTTTCTCCACTTGTTACTGGGGTTGTTCATTTTCTTACTGTTGAGATTTAAGAGAGTTCTTTGTATATTTTTGGATGCAAGTTCTTTATTAGATAGGTGTTTGCAAATATTTTCTCCCAGACTGTGCCTTGTCTTTTCATTCTCTTAACCGTGTCTTTTGCAGAGCAAATGTTTTAAATTTTAATGAAATACAACTTGATTTTTTCTTTCTTGGATCGCGCTTTTGGAGTTGTATCTATAAACTCTTGACGAATCCATGGTCACCTAGATTTTGTCCTAGGTGTTTCATAGTTTTGAGTTTTATGTTTGAGTTACATATGATCCATTTTGAGTTAATTTTTTTCCTTAAGAAAAGCCAGCTAACACCTTTATTTTGGGGACGGGGTGAGGTTGCACAGGAGCTCTTGGTGGGATGGGAGCTTCCTCTTCCCCATCACGGGCTTCTGGCTGTGCAGGATGGCAGTGCCGTGAGAAGGTGACCCTGCAGAGATCCAGTTGGTGTTTGTTCTTGCGGATCACATGCTGGATGCTGCCCAGGGTGGTCCCAGCGCTCTTGTTGACAGTGGTCTGCTGGTAGGTGGCCAGCTTTCACTGGCTGGATCTCCCCCTTCATGATGCCCACCACGCCTTTGCCAAGGGTGCCCAGCCCCACACCCGCTGTCCGGCATGAACTAGCCCGTTGTAGCACTGTAGTGGAGGGGGTTGTGGGCCTTCTGAGTGCTGGGTTGGGTGCTGTGCATCTGCTTGTTCCTCTTGATCAGGAAGCTGGAGTAGTTCCTACACCATCCACTGCAGGTGGGCGGACACCGGGGCTGCTCCCTTCCCTGGGGTGGACAGAGTCAGAAAGAGCGAGTATATTTTTAAGAAAGGTGTAACAGCAGTGTCAAAAGTCTTTTTTTTTTCTTTTTTACACATATGGACATCCAGTTTTTCCAGCCCCATTTGTTGATAAACTTACCCTGTCTTCAGTGAACTTTAACTTGTTCTAAACTGTTGAAAAATAAAGCAGACCTAAGTCGACTGTTACTGCAGTGACCAGCTGAACAGCAGGCATGACGTAGTCAGGTACGCAGCCCCTCCTGTGCTATGAGCAGCCTCTGAGAAGGGGCTGTCCTCATCTGATGGTTGCTGTGACGGTGAAGAGCTAGGAAACCGGGGCAGCTCCTTCACTCTCTTTATTCTCGGCACTTTACTAGCCAGTGGTATGAAGACAGGAGCACAATATTGCGAGAGGATAAAGGGGGCAACTTTTTAATCACATTGGGAAGTGTTTCACAGAAGAGGTCTGGGTAGAACCCAGGCTCAGGGTGGTAGAATTTTACCACCGTGTTTGAAAGGCACTCTGGGTAGAAAGAATAGCACTTAAAATGGCTTACCGGTGTCGAAGGGCATGACCAAACCAGAGACCACTCATGAATTCTCTCTGGTTGGAATACAAGGGGGCCAGTGGTAGAAGGTAAGACAAAGTAATATGTTGGATCAAGTTGGGAAGCATCAACCACCCTATGAAATTCAGATTTCACCTTAGACAGTGGTAAATGATGGGAAGTGTATTTCAGCAGGTGGTGGGGAACACAAATAGGTCTGTGTTTTAGAAAAACAATCCTGCTGGCAGGAAGGAGTGAAGGGAGAAGAGCCAAGGGAGGGAAATCAGCTGCAATGTTATTGTAACAGTAAGAGGGAGGGCCAAGCCTAAATTAAGAACGTGGCATTAGAAATAAAAACTGAAGATAGATTTGATATACATTTAAAGGGTAGAATCAAATTGCAGTATATAACTACCTGGCAGTGGTTTAATGTACTTACAATAAAAGTAATTGGGATCTGGAATTACTACCATGGGTTTCTAAGGAAAGTGCAAGTGAATGCAGGAAGGTGAGAGAATAGAGGAAGTGATTTTTCTAAATATTCCTCTTTCTTCAATACCATTTATCCCTGAACATACATATATACACATCATGGGCACAGTCCTAGAAGATACTTTCTTGTTTGTCTTTTTTCCGTGAGAAGAGGCACAGCAAGTGAATGTGAGTTCTAGCTCTCTGTTTACATCAGATCACCACACTTCCCAGTTATACTTTTACATCCATTTTTGGAAGTACTTTATTAGCTTTGGTCACTAGCATTTGTCTCTCCTCTTAGACTGGAAGTTCTAAGAGGGCAGGGATTCGTATCTGTTTTTGCTCATTTTTTCCTCCAGCACCTAGCACAGGGTAGATGCTCAATAAGTGGCCAGACGGATGGATGGATGGATATGGAAAAGGATATAGATGAATGAAATGGATGACTAAATGGGTTCTAGTTCTGGCACTGCCATCGTGTGAGTTTTTTTGCTGAGTATTTTAAGATCTTTTCTAAAAACCAGCGATTGCTATGATTGGGTGACCATTAGAATCTCTTGGGCACCTTAAAAAATATATGTATATATAACATATATATTCCTGTTTCTCCCTACTCCCCTGAGTCCCGACTGTGGTTATTTTGCAAATGCCACCAGACTGCATTTCTAATGATGAACAAAGATTTAGAAATGATGGTCAACATAGTGTCTTAAGAGTGTACACTTAATTCTGTGTCGTGCTTTGTTCATATCTGTGAAAGCAATGAACTCATTGTATTGTAGTACATTGTGTCTGTTTTATATTACTTAAACTATAAGCTAATTTAGCATAGAGTTAATTTCCTAGTTTTCTTGGTTCATGGCCAAAGCAAAATCCAGGGCCACTCAGACCAGGTGTTTGCTCAACTAGCAGTTTAAATGGTTTGCACCAGGTTAAGAAACAGTGTCTCATTTATAAGGAACTCAGACAACCCAAGTGCCTATCAATAGACAAGTGGATAAAGAAGCTATGGTACATATATACAATGGAATATTACTCATCCATGAAAAAGAATGTAATCTTACTGTTTGTGACAGCATATATGGATCTAGAGGGTATTATGCTAAGTAATGTATATAAGTCAGAGAAAGACAAATACCATATTATTTCACTTGTATGTAAAATCTAACGAACAAAATAAATGATCAGACAAAATAGAAACAGACTCATAGGTGCGGAGGGAAAAGGAGTTGAGGGCTGGGTGAAAAGGTAAAGAGATTGAGAAGTACTAGTTGGTAGTTACAGAATAGTCATGGGGATGTAAAGTATTGCATAAGGAATATAGTCACTAATATTGTAATAACTATGTATGGTGCCAGGTGGGTACTTGAAATATCAGGGGGGGCCACTGTATAAAGTATGACTGTCTAACCACTATGCTGTACACCTGAAACTAATACAAAATAGTGTTGAATATAAACTGTAATTGAAACATAAAATTAAACAAATGAAATAGTATCTCATTCTAAATCATGACAAAGCCTACCATTGAGGAGACATTTCAGAGCTATCAAATATTTATGATCATTGTATTAGCGATAAAAAAAAAAGGTAAGATTAAGGAAGTAAGTCGCAAATAGAGGCTACTTTTTATTTGTTCTGGTTCTCACAGAACCCGCTCCATTAGGCCTGAAAATAATATTAATACATTAAGTAGGGATGAACAAGAACAAGGTAATAGTTTATTATCCTTGCATCTTTATCTATCAAGTTGTAATCATGAAGGCTCGATTAACTTTTCCTTTTCTATTATTAAGGAAGAAAAACAGAAAAAGAAAATGGCTGCAAAGTTCGAACTAGCAAAATTTCTTCAAGAAACAGTTACAGAAATGGCAAGGAGGAACAGGGCCAAGCTGGGAGATGCCTCCACACAGTTCTCATCCTATGTCAAACAGGTGTCAGTCTTCGCTATATAATAGTACAAACAACTTCTTGGCTGGGAGTTTTATGAAAAATGCATATCATCATGGGTCTTCCAAATTGTTTACAATCTCTGAATTTGCAAATCTAAGTTATATAGATATGATATTGCAAACATTGATAGTAGTTTGCAGAAATGTCTGTCTTAAAGCAGCCCATGTGCTGAAGACATCGATAACTTCTTGGAGAGAGCAGAATTAGTCAAACTTTTGAACTACTGATATTTCAGTGACTTAAGCCAACTTCATATTTCTTTCTTTACTTCTCTTTGTACCGCAAGGCGCATTTCCAGACCTAAGATACAATCCATAAATGCTTCGATGTGTCTTTCAAATAGTCTGCTGGGAAGGTTAAATTAAGAAGGAAACACATATTAATCATTTAATTGGGCCCTTTTGTCCCACTGCCTAGGTCCAGACAGGCCACAAGCCCAACACAAAGGAGATAGTTCGCTTTTCCAAACTATTTGAGGATCAGCTAACCCTGGGGCACTTAGACCGACCTCAGCTGGTTGCCCTTTGCAAACTGCTGGAACTGCAGTCTTTTGGAACCAACAATTTGCTTCGCTTTCAGCTCCTGATGAAACTGAAGTCTATAAAAGCAGATGATGAAGTAAGAGCGTAGCTCTATCTGTAGAGAATGAGCAAGGCATTAGGAGATACCTTAGGGTGGTTTTGTGATAAAGAGCAGTATCCTTTGTCAGGCCTGTTCATAGACTGGTCCTGGCAAAATGAGCGGTTTAAACAACCATTACCATAACATCTGAACCTCTATTACGCACTTTAGGAGCTATTGTACTGTGACCCATTTTCCTGAGGCAGCCATCATAAGCAGTTAATAATTTCGATGTCTTAGCTGGGGCTAATCTAAAGCAGTTAGGCCCCACCGGGAAGGAACAGCAGCTCAGTAGATTCCTGAGCCTTATTCTGTGGCTCCCCGCCCTCCCCCGCCCCCCACCCTCTGCTGGCAGAGCTGGTGCCAAAGTAAATATCCTGCTGGGTGAGCTGGCCTGGTAAGAAGGGGTGGCAAACCCTAATGCAGGGAGAGAAAGCAGTGCCTGGACGTCTGTAGAAGAAAGGCACCATTTGGACTAGACCTACTAATTAGACTCCTTTAAAGAGCGGAAAGAATCTTTCTTGAATCTGAATCAGCTGCTTTAAAGCATTCTGCCTGAGGGAGCAGGATTCTCAGAACGGAGACTTGTGATCCCACTGGCCCCATTTAGATTTCAGTTGTTGTTTTCAGAACCTCGGAATAAACAACACTGGTCCCAGAAGTATCATAGTTTTGGGTCACACTAGGCAGAAGCTGTGTTATTTATTGAGGGAGTTTTGTGAACCGGGGAGTTGGGGCCATTCCTGGGGTGCTGGGAGGGATAGTGGGGAAAGAACGTCACTGGGACATGCAACAGATGGTACATAGAAAGCCTTTCAAGTGGAATGTTTTCATATGAACCCTAAAGCTGCCATGAAAGGGGAAGAGTAAAGATGTCACAGGCAGGCAAATGCAAACCAAGATAACTAATGTGGTGACGGTGTTGGGGAGAAGTTATGTAAATATGTCTGATAGTATTAATGCCTCTTGGCAGGATTCCTTTCATCTCAACTGCTATACCTTCCTAAGTCACCTTGATTTATAGGCGTCTGGCCTTTGCAGCAGTCAGTGCTGGGGACAAAGTGTGAAAGCCTCAGATCCTGTGTTTCCCCCATTAGTTGGAATTTAGGGATTAAGTAAAATCGGAACCAAAAGATCCAATACCATTCCCTTCATTTCTTTCAGATGATTGCCAAAGAGGGGGTGAGTGCCCTGAATGTGTCGGAATTACAAGCTGCCTGTAGGGCCCGAGGGATGAGATCACTGGGTCTCACTGAGGAACAACTGAGACAGCAGCTCACAGAGGCAAGTGACAGCGTCCCGGGCCCTTTGCACTTAGCTCTCTCTCCTACAATTTGCAGACCTCATTTCGTGATTTCTATCCTGCAAGTGGACCATTTTATCTAATTTGCCTTATGTAATTGAGCAGCAAGATACCAAAGCAGCTAGATCTTTTGACTGAGACAAGGTACTGTATTGGTTTTCTATTGCTGCAGAACAAATGATCACAAATTTAGTGGCTTAATACAACACCCATTTATTAGCTCATGATCCCGGAGGTCAGAGGTGCAGACTGTGTTCCTTTCTGGAGGCAGCCAGAAAGACTCCACTTCCAAGCTCATTCAGTTTGTTGGCTGAAATCAGTTCCTTGCAGCTGCACGACTGAGGTCCTTGTTTCCTCACTGGCTATCAGCCCTGGGCTACTCTCAGTCCTGGAGGCCACCAGCATTCCTGACCTCTAGGTCACCCCCATCTGCAAAGAACATCTCACATGTCAACACTCCACATACTTTAAATCTCAGACTCCCCCCACCGCCCGCCACCCCACTCTTATTTTAATCTCTAGCACCAGATTTAAAGGTCTCATGATTAGATGAGACCTACTCGGATAATCTTCCTGTCTTAAGGCCAACTGCTGTGGGACCTTAATTATATCTGCAAGATCCCTTTATAGCAGCACCTAGATTTGTGTTTGGTTGAATAACTGGGAGAAGGTGTGAGTACATGAGGGAGTGGAAATCTCAGGGCCACCTTAGGATTTTGCCCACCCCAGGCATTGTAAGAGCCTGGGCAAAATCTCTAATACAAGGCCTGATGCCTGTGTGAACCCATCTGGAGGTGTAGCTTTGCCTGCAGCTCACCTGGACTGTTCTCCCTATTAGTGCCCCAAACCAACGTAAAGTGTTAGCTTTGGAAACAGATGTTTAATATTTTCCCTCAGATAATATATTTTAACTAATTTAATGCTTTAAAACAAAGGGAGCACGTCCTATTAAAATTCTCATTCCCATAACTGTAAAAAGTACTATAAAGTGTACACACATTTTTGGAGGGCAGGAGCCATTGTTGTGACTTTGAAACCATGTCAAGTAACTTTTTCCTCTTACATGTTGGACCTGCCCTGGGTGGCAAATGGATGTATTGCAGAGATGTACCAAAATTATTTATTTCTTAAACAGAGAGTATTAAGTGGGTTCAACTGTCAAGTTGCTTTCTTGAAAGTATGTATCATTTTACAATCTCACTACAAGGGAGTGAGGATGCTAAATCCAGCCCTGTGATTTGCCACACTGTGTGTTGTTATTCCAAAAATCCTGTGTTAGAACACAGGCACACATTTCATAGAAAGGAAGATAAAAATAGTAAACGTGAAACACCTTAACTTCATAATAAGGTAAAACTATGAGATATGGCATTTACCTGTTTATGTTGGCAAAGATCCCATTTTGATAACATCCCGTGTCGGCGAGTGTGTGGGGGGAGGGGCCCTCAAGCATTGCTGGTAAAAATTTCCATAGAGGTCTGGCCATATCTTTCCAAATTTTAAAATGCACTTACTTTGACCTAGAAATTTCGCATTTAGGAATTTATCCTATGTTCTTGCACATGTACAAAATGGCATATCTACAAGATGATCCGTTGCAGCACTGTTTGTAACAGCAAAAGATTAGAAACTGCCTAAAATTCATTAGTAGGAATATAATAAAATAAATCATAGCATTTCTATACAGTGGAATCCCTACGGATGTTTAAAAAGGAGCAGCTCTATATCTACTGATATGAGTCAATCTCCAGGATGAAGTATTTCAGTGAAAAAAAGCAAGGACAAAAGTATGTATCTCACTCACCCTTAGTGTAAAGATAGACAAGACATAAATATTGGTATGTGCATAGGATACCTCTGGAAGGTTATATAAAGAGTTGGTACCAGTGGTTGCTTCTAGGGTAGGAAACAGTAGCGAGAGAAGAGGGGCAGGAGACAGGCTTATTTTTGTTGATTTCATCTGACCTTTTGAATTTTATCTCATGCATGTATTATGGATCTAAAAAATATTTTTAAAGCCTGGCCAAGTGGGTCCTACTTGAAAACTTATATCTCGTTCTCAGTTTAATGTTTCTTTGCTTATGAGGGAGGCTGCTTTAATTCTTTAACATCTACTTTGTGTCTAAGAGGAGACACTTCGCTTCTGTGATCCACAACTGGTTTGAGGGTTTGACCGAACGTTCTTTCCCTGGCTCTGAGGGGGCGAGGGCATTGCAGTGCAGCCACCAGCGCAGAAGCTGTCAGGCTGACGTGCTCCGCCCCATTCTGCCCTTAGTTACCAGCAGGCGCCTGGGGAAGCTGTAGAGCCAGGGAGGTAGTAGGTCATCGTGGGTCACCTCCAGTTCTAACGTTTTGTGATTCTGTCATGTTTTATTTCCCTCTCATTCTCCAGTGGCAGGACCTCCACCTGAAGGAGAACGTCCCCCCTTCTCTTTTGCTCCTGTCACGAACCTTCTACCTGATAGACGTGAAGCCAAAGCCAGTTGAGATCCCACTAAGCGGGGAGGTGAGTGACTCAGCTCAGGCAGAATCTGGATTGCCGTAACTTCCCGAACAGGGCTCTCCACAAATGCCTTACTTCCTGTTACAGTGTGTGGAGGTGGGGGCGCATTTCTTTTGGTGTATCTTTTGGGAATTTGGCCCAATTGGCCTTAAAATATTAAAATCACTGTAACTATCTCTAGCTATAGGGCTGTTAGTGCCTTTAATCTCAGCTTGATTTAGGAGTCTCACTAATAGGAGTTCAGTTTGTTCTTTAATTGTGACTCATTAACTATGTCGTCTTCAGACTATTCTCACCACTCTTTCCCCTTTGAGACCGAATGATTCCTGTTCTGTCATGTCTGTTTCATTTCTCCAGGTTCCTATTAATTTTTAAGCAGTGAAAGGCTAATCTAGAATGTAAACTTTTTGTCTTTCTACAACTCATTTTCTTAATCATTTTTTGTTACCTTGACCTCAGCAGCTTTATTTGCCCTGGTATTTTACTGAAGAACCCAGAACTGGCCCAGTCACTGGAGCACCCTGCTCTGGGTCCTTCAGAAAGGGCCTCTCGCCTTTCACTTTTGTGGCTTCGTGTCTAACTCAGGACCTGCATGAGTGAGAAAGGCAAGGACCATTCTAGAACATGCTGCGTATGTGGTTGAGTAGATGAGACTAAATACTCTGGAGTGAGGATCAACCATTTTAAATCTTAGTTATGCTGTTGACTCCTGGGACAAGCCAAGGAAAAATCTTAGGAAGTCCTGCATGCAAAATGCACATCACGAGACACCATCTTGCTTTCCCTTTGCATAGTTCCAGAGACTAATCTGGATTTGGGCTTTGTTCAGGGAGGATTCTAGGGAGACTAGGTAGGAGCAATTTTGAAGCACAGGCCACCTTCTTAAAGGCAGGTTACTGGATTCTTACTCTGTTTGGTCTTCAAGACAGACCAGAGTTATCTGTCATCCTCAGACTGCTCTCAGGAGCAAGGAAATCTGGAATGCAGCACACTGTCCCAGAGCTAAATTTGGGTTCTCAGAATTATTGCAGATGGGCAGAAACTCTTATCCAGATGTTGTTTTCTGGGATGGTTGAGAAAGACCTAGGAATTAAGGACAAAATCACAAACTCCTAGGCATTTTATTGGTTGCTTTAAAAAAAAAAAATCCACATTTTAAAACTTCTATTCTCCACATATACAAAATGAGAACAAGTAGCATGCTAGGTTCTAATAAAAATTTAGAGGCATCAAATAGAATATTCTATAATTTTGGATATATGTAGACCTTTTCCCTCCAAAGCACACAAAGAAATTACTTATATCCAAAAGAGCAGTCATATATTTATATTTCAAATCTAATTAATATAACGCCTAAAGACAGGCTAGCTAGCTGTTCTAAAATACCATGCTCTGCCTCCATTTTCCTTGTGTTGCAGGAACTTCTATTAAGCAGCACCTACCATTTAAATAACTTTTGTCATTTATTATTAGGAACCAACAATGACAAAGATGTCAGCTTTGACTAAATTATATCAATGCTATTAGAAACAAATGAATAATTGGAAAATGGCAACTTTTGTTTATTTTTTGTGTTGAATATGACCGGAATTGGCAAACCAGTAGCTTATTAATGACCAAAGATTGTAAATGCTAGAATCTAATTAGAGTGCAACTTTTGCATATATAGTGTGCTCAAAACTGCAAGATAAATAAATAATACTAAGGTGTTATTTCAGGGACATGCTTTATATGTTACTCATAAAGGGTCTAGTTGGAGGAAGTTAGGGATTTACTGGAAAGCAAATTGTGCTAGAATGCATTGACTACTTACTTTGGAAGTGCTCCTGAATTTCAGGAAGAGCAGAAAGCTTAAATAAAATATTTCCCTCCCTAGTCTCCAGAGATGGATATTCCTATGGAATTACCTACTTTTCCTGAATCTAAAGAAAACCTGGTGGACTTAGCACCTCGACTGAAGGGTACTAAGGACACACTATTACTTTTTATTTGATTAATTAGGTTAAAAAATGAAAGTAAGTTCTGTATGTTTAACTCCCTTAATGAAACTGAACTCCAGTGGTGTTCTTTAATAAGGAATATTTCTTGTACTGCTTGATCTTTTTCTGAGAACATTTAACATTTGGCTGTGTGTAATTAGGTTCCGGATTTTGCCTCCTGAATCCTGTGCCGGAATGTGAAGTAGTTGTTACGCGTTCTTCATAGTCATGGCAGTATGATTGTAGACCTCATGCGTATTGTTTTAAAATCAGTAACCTAACTCTTAGTTCTGATGTTTAAGGATGAAAAATATATGCAACTGCCACCAGTTACATCTTCACCCATGACACCATCCACATCTATTTCATTACCGAAAGGACCTGTCACTTCTGCTAAAGAAGCTGTGAGTATAAGTTAAAAAAAGAAAACCTCTTTCCCTCTAGTTGTTTTTAAGGGCAGTGAGAATCTAGAATTACAACTATTGGAAAATGCTGCACAGTTCTTCCTGTTATCCAAACAGGAAGTTGTAGGCTGAATTTTAGTCATCTTACAACCACTACATTTTTAAAATGCAATTATCCAAAAGTGAAAAAGAAAATAACCAATGAAATTGCAGATCAGACCTAAACATGTTAAGTCTAGAAGCTAATTACAATATAGGCATGTTCTTATTTTCTTTTGTGCCAGATGGAAATAGTTCCCATGTGTTGTATAATTCACACAGGATTCACATCAGGAAATATTATAGGAGAGCAATTTAAACCTTAGGAGAAATGCTTGTGAATAAGAAATTCCTTATCTCTTTTTCCCATTTGGATAAAGAAATTTGGGGCAAGAGCAGAAAGTATGACACAAGTAAACAGAAGAGGGGTCATGGGAGAATTGACCTGTGTAGCGAGTGGCGCTGCTGCCTCCTGAGGACCAAAGCAGCAACCAGTGAATACACGGAGGGGTAAACTGACATCCACAGGCCTGGCTTGCATGTATTTATTAGGATTCAGAAAACCAAAAAGGGGCTCTTAAAGAACTTGCGCATCTAACTGAGACCAGGGCCTAACATCCTTATGTTTTGTACCTAGACGCTCCAGGCCAAATCACAAAAAACCACCCAGAACAGCAAGGCTCGTTCCAAAGGAGCCTAAGGACGACTGGAGGATGCAGCTCAGTCTCTCCAGCTTCCTGCCCTCAGCAGTGGCATTCACGAAGGACCTCCCAGCTATGGCTGTGTCTGGTTCGAGTGGAGGACTAGCCACTTAGTCCTTGGGACAGTCCTTTGAGACCTTGTAAACATTCCAGATGATGTCAGCAGTGAGACCAAGTTCAGACCACTTAGAAAAAGATGACTGCAAAGCCCATTTCCCCTGTACCATTATGTCATCCCACTAAACTTTGTGTAAAGCCCCCTTGCCCCATGTCATTTTTAGCAGCTTCATATTTGTGCCCATGTCCTTGAAGGGGGGGAATTATTTTTGCATAAGGGAACCAGCTTAGCGACTTAGATGGCGCTGCCTCCTATGGCTTGGTAACCTGAGTACGAACTTGAAAACTCCAAAAACCATTGTAAGAGCACCTGACCGACTTTCTCAGAGTGATCCAGCAGGAGGAATAGTTCCTTATGAGATGGAACGGAGACTCCCCAGTAAGGTCTTTCTGGACATAAAGACAACACTTCTTGGGGAATAAAATAGAGAGTTGGACTGGCGGTCAGAAAGGTTTGGCTGCTGCTTGGCTGTTCTGAAACTTCCCCCTCTGGGCCTGCAGGAATCTGGGAAGCTGCCACGATCCTCGCACATATGGCTTTCATTAGCCACCATTTTGCTAGGAAACATAATTAAGGGTTTAAGCCTTCACCATTTGTTTGTGCTGGGTGTGTTTTTCTGGCCTGCTTGTCTTTCACAAACAAGACTATTTGTTAGTCATAGAGGTTGTTAAAGCCTGATATAATCCCTGTGCTACCCACTAACAAATATTATGTTCAGATATTTGTTTGGTGTTTTCTGTATTGTCAATACTGAAAAAAAAAACCAAAACACTGTAGTAGATTGCTATGAAGCTGACCAACAGTCTTCTCCCTTGGGAAGTGCTTAGGAAGGAAAAGGTATTTCAGCCTGTGGGTGATGAAATTAGATTTCTTTACTTGCTGTGAATTTGAAAGCAGTTTACTGGGAATCAGTTCTACTAAGTGAAACAAACACCCTTGTCTGGGATCACCTAAATGAGGACTGTCATCAGCACCTCACAGCAAGGATATGTGCTTTTATAAGCTTCCTAAACCTCCTCTCCACCAGAGGACAAGCCCCACCATGTCCTGCTGATCAGCTCCAGTTCCTTGAGAATAATGAACCCCTACTATACAGCATTCCACGGATCTCACCATTGGCCTGGCAAGGTGATTCATAATAAATTTCCCCACTTTTAAAATAATGGGTGTTTACTTTAATTAGCTCGCGTTTCAAGTGTTGTCTGTGGGAAAGGGATTAGCTACTTGTTGCATCCTGTTTAAGCCGAATGATTCATATGTATTGTTGGGCTACAATCTTTCTGGTTTGTCCTATGTGCAGAGTAGGAATGGTTAGGTCAAGGGGCCCCGGGTCACTTTTGGCCTCAGTTGGCCTCCACCCATTTTTGGTTCATAAACTGGCATCTAAGCCATGACACCTCTGTTCCCATTCTTATGCTAGTAGCTCAGAGAAGTCAAGGTCATTTCCTTGCTCTCATCACTTAGGCCTGGCGGGCGGCTTCCATGATTGTCGGGCCCAGCCGCACGCACGCTGAAGCTGAGTTAATGGTGTTCTGGGAAATGATTAACAACTGCCTTTGGTGGGGGTCGGGGGCCTGATTTGCAGTGTTTGCAGATTCCAGTGATGTAAATGTTCCAACATGGCTGATTTCAAGGTCACTGAACAACAGTTGGGAAAAGATGTACATAATTGGCTCAAGAACCAGTCCCAGCACACTACTGACCGCAGCACCTACCGTAGTAGTAACAGAATTAAATCTCTACTTGTCATGTTCACAAATGCCTCTCTTCTGTGCACCGGAAGTATAAATGATTCTACGTATGTCATGTGGCAACCTAGAAAGAACTTGCCCAAGACCGAGTCTTCTGAACATCTGGGTTCTTGCTGACCTTCCCTCTCCCTGGCTCTCGTCAGCTGAAAGGATGAAGGTTGCTCCAGGTTGCTCCAAAGCTTTCTCCATTCCCCGCTCTCTACTCCTCCCTGCAGATGGGTATACCTTAGCGTGCCAGCAGCTAACAACATCACTAAGTATAATTTTAGGCATTTTCTGAAACCCAACCTGAGTGATTGCGACATCAGACTTGGCCTGTCTTAGACATTGAGAATTCTGCTACAACAGGGGTTGCTGGTGGCACTTGGCATTCAAAGACCTGCACTTGTGTTGTATCTAATGTTGTACTCCAATCATTATATTTTAGTGGTATGAAATAAATGCTCTGTAATGCTAAAAGCTAGGTTAAAGGTCACCCAGTCACCACCAGTACACACCTAATGGAACCTCCTAGCAGATTGGCACCTTACCTAATGACTGAGATTTTGGCCTGCTGGCGCCTCCCAGTGGCCACTGTTGAACACAGCGACTTCACTGTCATTGAGATTTCTTGCTTCATCTGAGGTTCTATCTTACTTACCTGAGATCAATACATTACATTAGCGGCACCAAGGGACTGATGACCCCCCGTCTATGGCAATTAGAAAGGGCAGAAAGGCAGTATTGATTAATACTGTGGTAATCCCGGGCTCTAATCTTTTAACCCTCAGGAAACCAGCCAAATTCAGTGCCCGACAGCACGTCGTCTTCATTAGATAAACTAGATTCTTTTTCTCAGGAGACCCAATCTGGTCATCTAAGTGAAATGGCCATTTCATTTTCTCTCAGGTCAATTTCACTATCTTTTATTAGACAGCCAGCTCAGTCTCTGGGGACATTTGCGGGTGGTTCGAGTAATAACAGCAGGACATCACTGTTGCGATGGTGCCTCCTCTTTCTCTAGCATGTCTCCCGAAGGCACAGGAAGCCCTTCATAGATCCTCCATCCATTCCCACAGCATCGCTCCAAGGCCAAGGCAGAAATTATCACTATTTCACAAGGAAAGACACCGCTATAAGGTCTGAAAGCAGATGGTTTTACGAGCTAAAATTCATTTCCTGGCTCTGTTCACCAAATTATGCCTTCATTAAATATGACACAAACTGTAATATGTGGACAGGTGCATATTTACAGAGACACAAGGAGAGAGAACTAATTTACAATAGTAGCCAACACAGCAGCTGCCAAAAAAATAGCTAGCTCAGAAAGGAAACTTAAAGTAGCAATCTCATTTTCCCTACAGAAATGAAGGCGTATCGAACCGTCTTTTGTATTCAGCAGCAATCCAGCAAAAATGTGAGCTTTCGGTATAGAGGTTGCATAGTAGCAGGTTCTGATAGCACTAGGTTCTGAGGAGCCAGGACACACTTGGTGAGTGCAGCGATCACCAGCAGGTGGCAGAGAAAGTAAACTTCCAAGCAGCCAAAAAACAAACATTTAGAGAATTTTTTTCCTTTCCTGAGGGATGGGGTGGAGCTTGTACAGGAAGAACTATAGGAAGCCAAGATCTGTGATAGTCCCAACACGTGCAGTTTGATCACACGGATCCAGAAGACTGGTGTGGGGGAGGACCGTGAACACAGAGCAGGCTCAGAAACACGAAGCAGGGGGTCTTGGTGTAAAACTCATCTTAGGTGACAGTTTTCCCTCTCACAGCAGCACAGGCAAAACCACACGCACACAGAGAGGGTAGACACGTATCTGGGCTTGAGTTTCTGCATACCCTTGTGGAAATAATCCTTAGCTTTCCTCTATCTCCTCAGCTCTGCCCCTTGGCCCCTGCTCCCTCTCTGACCCTCTGACCTACCCGACCCCGCCAGTTTCCCCTGAGGAAACAATCTGTGGTTGAGGGCTGCGGGGTCTTGGCTTTCCGCCCAGCCCCTCTGGTGCCCTGACAGGAGGCTCCTGCCCCTCATGCAGGTGTCTTCTTTTCCTGCCTTTCCAAAAGCATCCGAGAGGTCTGAGGCTTGTCCGGAGGTTGCAGTACAGGACCTAAAAAGGAAGAGGTTAGGAGGAAACTCCGGGGAACGTGCAGTGCCCTCTGGACAGACACACAGACCCAGGGCCCGTGATCCTTGCTCCTTTTCAGTTGACATTCTCTCCCTTGTCACACAGCCCATATAAAAATGAAGCAGCAGCAATTTTTATTTGAGGGACCTAAACTGAAAATAGGTTTAGAACATAATTTAAAAAAATAAAACAGCAAAAGTAGCAAAAAATATATGACCTTTTTAAAAACATTTTCCTTTTTTTTTTCTTTTTTCTTTGTTTTTAATATATAGCAACTGATGCCTCCCAGCCACCAGGAGCATCTTACCCAACGGGTAAATCTCTGGTAACGACCCTTTTAAAAAGACATGTAAATATATACTCAGATTTATACACTTTGTGTTTTCTTCATAGCTATGTACAAAGCCCCCAGTTCGGGGCTGGGCCCCAGGGCCATGACACTGCTCCCAGCCTTTGCCTCCCCATCCTCTGGTACCAGGTATTTGGTCAGCAAAGCAAATTAGTATCAGAATTAATAAGCCACTGGCACCATCTATCTGGAGCAGAGGTCACCTCCAACCGAGGCCCGAAGCCTGACTTCCCCTCCCTACTACTGTAGCCTTGGGGACGAGGCACCTGCTACCAGAACACAAGGGCTTATGGGTAACGGTGAAGCAGACAAAACCGACACAAGAAAGCTCAGTCCGCTCTTGCGTGCATGCCTGCTCAGCATGCTCACCTCCCGCTCCCTAACCCTCCAGGCAGTGCCCAGTGGCAGGGAGGGGTCTTGGTCCAACATCTGGGAGGAACGGAGTGGCCGTCAACAAGTACCTGCCTCTCTGCTCCTCTCTCTCATAAGCAGGTTGAGAGGAGGAGGAGGAAGAGAGGTGAGCTCAGTGGGGTGAAGGCCTCGGGTAGGCAGCTGGCTCCTACCAGCAGGAAAGGGGCAAAGGGGAAGGCAGTGAGTCCAGCAGGGGGCAGTGGGTGAGAGTTACAACTGACGATAAAGTTCCGGGAGGGGCAGTGCTGGGGTGCTAGTCAGCGCCGTTTGAGTCCACCATTGGCAAGCTGGGCTGGGTGTCGGGGCAGACAGGGCTCCTCAGGCAACGGCTCATGAGAGAAGACAGAATCCTCCCCTGAGGAGCAGGTAGAGCTTCGGGTGTCAGGAAAACTGGGAGAGTATTGGTCCAGGGGCATTGACAGGTCCAGATACTCCTGTGACAGGAGAAACCAAAGAACAATGGATGCCGCACTCTCCTCCCTGCGGCAGCCTTAATTCACAGAGATGCCCCCCACTGACGACGGCTGAAGGCCTAGGAAGGGGCAGCCTCACCTGGTTGGAGGTCAAGGCCACAATGCGGTCCAGGTCTTCTACTAGCTGCTTGAAGGTAGGTCTTTGAGAGGGTACCGCGTGCCAACAATCCCGCATCATCATGTACCTGTGGCAGGATTGTAAGGTCAGGAGAGGAAAAACATAAGCAGAGAAATTAAGCAGCCCATGAAGGAGGGGCTATGGGAGGAATGACCAGGAAGGGCTGCTGTATCTAAACACCGCCACCTTCCGCTTTCTTCCTCTTCCCGTCCAGCCCACTCTGCCTCCAGGCCTAGCTCAGGGCCTTGGGCATCTTCTCATGCTTACAGCTCGTTGGTGCAGTTACTGGGCTTGTCCATTCGATGACCCTCCTTCAGCAGCTTAAAAAGCTCCTCCACAGGCACACCAGGATATGGGGAGCCTCCCAGAGTGAAGATTTCCCACAGGAGCACCCCAAAAGACCACCTGTGGATGAGCACAGAGCCTATGGGTGTTGTGGGCATAGGGCTAGGCCAACCTAGAGTCCTTTCCACATTTCTTTAATCAGCATGTCAGATACTCATCCTGAATCCACCCTCCCCAACACAAATCCTTAATTCCAAGGGGAATAGCAGGGGATAGCGCATAGAACAGACTGGTGTTCAACCCCCAGGAGCAAAGGGAATGGCTACAATGTTTTGTTTGCTCTCTGAGATGGAAGAGACCTCATCAGTTCCTAGGGGAGGCTAGGCCCCCGTTGTACCAGACATTTTCTATCCCAAGTATCCCCGGCAGCCGCCTCTTTGAAACTCACACATCACTCTGGTGGGTGTAGATCCGGTCAAACAAGGCCTCGGGTGCCATCCACTTCACAGGCAGCCGGCCCTGCAAGCAGCACGGGGAAGTTGGGGGTGGCCCAGGGCAGGGCAATGCGGGAATAAGGGGGTCCATGAGGGGCTGGGCTTGGGAAGGAATGCATGCGTGCAGCTCATCCTGCCACATTATTTCTCAGGCAAAGCAACCTGCACCGGCTTAGAGCAGAGAAGTCTACATGGGAGGGAAGCCTAGCACAACAGAGTCCTGCGCAGAGGACACGCACCTAGTGGCCTCGTCGGCACTTACATTGGTCGTCTTTTTATAGTAGTCGATGTGGTGAATGTCCCGAGCTAGGCCAAAGTCTGCAATCTTCATCACGTTGTCCTCTGTCACCAGGACGTTCCTGGCGGCCAGGTCTCGGTGGATGCACTGTGGAGACGCAAGGGGGAGCCCGGGGAGGCAGAGGTGGAAGAGAGGACGGTGGGATGCAGGTGAGGGGGTGCAGGCTCTAGGGCGACCAGCTGTACACATGCATCGGCGGCTGGGTGTCTGGGTCACCCCGTACTCTAGCACTCGCTCCGCAGCCGGCAGGGAGGCCCGCTCCCCTCCAAGGCCTTCCACTGCCCCCACTCACCTCCTGGACATTCTAGTGCCCTGCTGGAAGGTCCCTCTCCCCCACTTCAAACCCAGCCCTTCAAATGCCTCCAGCTCCAGGAGCAAACCTCTCAATAGCAAACCCTTTGTATCTGCCTCTTTTCCTCATCCTTCCAACTCTTAGCTTTGGATTTTCACCCAGAAAGTCTGAACCTTCCTGCTTCTGCCCAGCCTGTGTAGTGTGTGCTCACAGGCCCTGCCTCCCCAGGCCCAGCCCAGCCACACTGGGCAGAGGCCAAAGCCAGCACTTCCTGAGCACCCAAAGCTGTACCAGACACTCTCACACCTCATTTTACTCCCGCAACCATTCTTATTTCATATGTGAAGAAACAGTCGCAGAGCACAGATGTGAACCTAACCCAATCTGACCCCAAGACCCCATCAGGTGACACTGGCTTTCCTGGCTCTGATGTCCCCTAACAGCCTAAGACAGCACAGGTAGTCAGTGCTCAATATGTCCACTATTCCATCAAAGGACAGAAAGCCATGAGCTGGAGTCTGAGGAGGGCTCTGTCCCCACCCCGACCCCACCCGGGGGCCCGTCGGGTGCCTTACCTTCTTGGAGGCGAGATACTCCATGCCTCGGGCCACCTGATAGGCGCAAGACACCAGGTCCTTGGAGGAGAGCTGCTCCTCGGGGTTGTGGCTGGGGTTGTAACAGTACTCCAGCCCAGGCGGCCTCCGGGCCTGCAGGTACTCCCGTAGGTTGCCCTTGGAGGCGTACTCCACGATGACGTACAGAGGGCCTGGGGGTGTGGGTGAAGAGGCCGTCAGGGCAGGCAGGCCGGTACGCAGCGTTTCGTTCACCCCCAGAAAACCCCGTTCCCAATGGTGCACCCTAACCTTACCTCCCCTTTAGGGAAGCAGGGAAATTCATTCCACTGCTCAGAGAGTCAGGAAAATAATTCTTCCCAGCATAGTCCTGAATGTTTCTGAGCCAAGCGGGGATTAAGAGCCCTAATCTAGACCACAGTTACTACTTGCCTGTTCCTATCCACACACTGTGCCTGTGATTCTAGGTGCCTGTATTCTCAGATGAATACCAATGGGCGTCAGCCCGGACCCCAAGAGATTGGGCCCAACTACCGCTAACCCTGCCTCCCTCCTTACTCCACTTCCCTCGTGTGGCTGACAGACGCTTGGCTGCCGATACCCCAGCTCAGTATCTTCTCCCTGACAGACACCGTTATTTGAGCAGGGGGCCCAGGTTCCCATCTGAGACCCTCCCGCAGAGCAGTGGGAGAGCCGGCCTGGCTTAGTGCCTACCATCCTGCGTGCAGGCCCCCAGCAGGTTGATGATGTTCTTGTGCTTCCCGATCATCTTCATCATCTCCATTTCTGAGATCAGGTCTGAAAGGTCTTTCTCTGTTGCATCCGCTTTGCACACAAACGAGAGAAGGGGATGAGGCTCATTTGCTTTGGGAGGGCGACAGGAGAAAGGCTAAGGGACGGGGGCGAGGTGAGGTGTATGCCCGAGGAGTCCCTTTTCTCCTGGAGTGGCTGCTCTCCTCCCTTCCCTGCACCCTCTCATGACAGCTGTTGGAATACGCGGTGATGAGTGGGGCAGGGGATCCGGTGTGGAAAACCAGCTCGCAGTGGGATTTAGAGTAATCACCTGACCACAACCCAGGCTGACCCCGAGGCGCAAAGTGAGGTTATGGCCACGCAACGGGTATGGGCAAGGAGAGGGCACCAGAGAGGTGTTCCACGTGGCCTGAGGCCCACAGTTTGCTTGGCAAGGGAAGGGATCGTTCTTCCCAGGGCGGAAACATCACTTACACTTCAACATCTTCACAGCCACTTTGGTCACGCGGTTGGGTTTGTCCTTGTCTAGGCCAATGGCCTCCGCCAGCACCACCTGCCCAAAGCAGCCCTCTCCCAGGGGTTTGCCTAAAACAAGTCTTTTGGGGAAACAAAGGGTGGTGTAAGATGGGGCTGGTGAAGTTCAAACCTTGAGAGGACACCCCGTCTCTACCTCTCCATATTTCGCCTGACTGTGAGCAGAAAGTGAAAATTACTATTTCTGGATACAACTGATGCATCTGCACTCCCTAGGAGGTCTTGGTACTCGCAACTCCCACCGTCAGAATAACGAGCAGGGGACTTCCTCATGAGCCGGGAGTATTACCTGTCTCGAGGCAGCTCCCAGCGAGGGTCTTCGGGAAGCTCATATTCGGAGACCCCAGCCAGCATGGGGGTTCCGCTGGAGGAGAGACGCGAGGGCCGAACAAGCAGAACCCCTGAGTTCATGGACGCGCTGGAGTCAGCCGACACCTACAGGGAAGTGTGAGGTCACCTTTCTAGCGAGGACCGGGGGCGTGCGCGGCGCAGATTCCTCCAATTCCTCGTCAGGGCATTTGGCCAATGGCAGAGGTAAACACCTGTTACCGTATGTGCCTTCCCCAGCACAGAGTGGCAGAAAGACCCAAAGAGGTCAGAAGACCCAAGTTCTAAAACGGACTCCTTTTTGCCACCAACTAGCCTTACCGGACTCGGTTTACTCACTTTTAACACGAACAGACCATACGTTCCTCTTCCAAGCTAACAAAAATTATCACTGCAACGACAGCTCTACCTTGTCCCGATCCTTTATGACAGCCTGCCTCTGATTATGAATTCCTAACTCCCAAAGTATCTCCCAGAATTAGCATAGTCCTGTGTGAACGCTCCCTCCTCTCACGGCCTTCACTTTCTGTTCCATTTCCTTGGCGGGGGCGGGAGGGTGGGCACACAGGAGACAGGGCACCTTGGGACCCAGGTCAGGTTCTCCTCTCTACTCTGTATATTTGCACCTCTAACTGGCCCATGGGGATAGTTTAAACGCACAATATCCCCTGCACATTCTCCCCAGCTAGGACTTTCTCTCAATCCATGCACCAGCTGAGCAGGGGACTGCAGGTAGTGTATGGTGGGCATATGAAATTCATGGGGTAGAGAACTCAACGCTGAAGCAGCACGTGGGTCAGGACGTTCCACTGCCCCTGGCCCAGAAGCCAGAAAGCAAAGCCGGAAGCAGCAGGCTGGGGACAGTGGAGAGGCAGAGCGGCAGTGGTTCCCGGAGAAGCCCCAGGGCCACTGGGAGAGAAGGGACGCAGGGCGTGCAAATCCCCTATCTACTTTCTGTTACCTGTCTGCGCAGAGGGATGCTCTTGGCCAGCTTGTGCACGGCCATCTGGCTGTGGAAGTCGCTTTTCTTGGTGCCACTCTTCATCTTGTAGATGATGACAGACCCCACCATGCAGGAGATGAGGAAGGCGCCCGTGCAGTAGATGATGATCTCCAGGTACAGCGGGGAGGTCATTACTGCAGGTCTCTCTTCCAGGGCTGAGTCAGTGTGAACAGGGTGTCAGCAAGCTCGCGGGCCCAGCCCGCGGGGGTCCCTCGCTCCCAGTTCCATGAGAAAACAACACCCATCTCCTTTCCTCTGGGCATCTTCAGGCTGAGCCGAGAAGAACCCTAGCTAAGACTGGGGTTGTGGCACAGAGCTAGCAAACCAGACACCTCGTGATCTTTGAGGCTTGCTGATCCTGACCCGAACCCTCCAAGAGGAATGGACTAGAACTTGCTACATGTGGCCCATCCTCATAAATTCAGGAGCCCTCGTCGTTCAACTGGGCTGCTGAGCTAGACGGGTACCAGGTGCCCTGTGAGAGACAGCTGAGGAGTCCTTTCTTCTGGGTGCCTTTCTCAGCCTCCGCATGGACACACGCGGCCCTTCTCTGCAGTGCCTCGGCCCTGTGTGCACACACCTACCACACGGGGACAGGTCAACCGTCTCATGTCTGAGAGTCTGAGGGCGGGAAGGCCACTTGTTTATTTCTGTAGGCCATAAGGCCTGGCACACGCACAACGAGGACAAGTGAAGGTGGGAGGCAAGGGTGTGTCTGCGTCCTGACTTCGTATCTCACCTTTCACCCATGTCATCTGTCTCAGGTCAGACGTGTAAATATTTACACCTGGCCAAACCACAGGCAAAACTGACTAAACTTCCAAACATATCTGTGCTGCGCCAGATGAAAAATGTAAACTTCTCTGCAGTTCTTAAGAACATTACCCACAGGCCCTAACTCCTAAAACTGAAGAAGGAAATGGCGGGGTGGGGGTGGGGGGGAATGTATGTTTTATTCTGTTCTCCCGTCTTCCACTTAGAATTCACCCCATCCCCACGGAAGCCCCTCCATTCAGTCCATGGTTCCTGTCTCCGTGAGAGAACGCGAGGGCGTGCGCCCCGCACTCCCAGCGAACCCCCATCCCCACCGGAGTGAACGTCCCTCTTCCTTCCACACCCGCCTCCCAACCATCCCCTTCAAAACCCCCCCCAGCCAGCCACAGAGGCAAGCACGCTGGGGACACCCCCCCCAAGAGGCACCGGGTGTGACCTCGATGGAGCCCCAAGAGAACTGGAGGCTTGACAAGGGAGACTGCAGAGCTGCTAACAAGGAGAAGTGTTTCTGTTTTTCTCTTTCCCCAGTGTGGAGAAACGAAGACCACTGAGTGGGAGGGCACACGGACAAAGACAGTGACAAGGATAAAAACAGAACGCTTCTCTGCCTCCAGCAGGGGCACGACCAGACCCTGTCGGGCAAGCAGGGCAGATGAGGAGAGGGAAGAAGAGAGGGCAGCGTCAGCAGTAACAAGAACAGCACAGCGCCCAGACCCACGTGCAGGACCCTCAAAGAGGCAGCGACAACCAGCTCCAGCCCCGGAGGCACCAGCTGCAGGCTCCTTCCTTCCCGGCCCAACACACAGACCTCCCTTTAGGGAGAGGACATACGTCAGTAGCCAAAGAGGATAAATGGGCACCAGCCCCTGCGGCGTGGCTGTGCTTGTGGAGCTCAGGTCCACTTGCTTGGGGAGAACCTCTCCTGAGATCAGAGGACGGCCATACGGGAGGGTGGGTTAGCATTGCTAGCAAGCAGCAAGCCCCTCTTTACAGAGTGCCTACATTCAATTAGAGAAGGAGCGGGGCCCTTTCTGAGACTCTGGGGGCTGTCAAAAAAAAGAAGGGCCAGATGAGTCAGGGACAGCTGCTGGACCCAAGGAGGGAAGGAGCCTGCCCTGGAGGAGAGCCCAGCTACAGGTTAAATCCAGATCTCACGCATGCATTACATTGGCCCAGGGGAGAGCCAGATGCAGGCATACAGGTGGGAGGCCTCCGAGTTCCTGCAAACGAGGAAAGCTCCCATGTGAGCCTTGAGGAACTGACCCCCAAGGTTGGACACATTGCTGGACCTGTCCACCGGCCCACGAAGCCCGTTCCTCGACCTCCCCTGGCTCTGTGTCTCCCCCAGCCCTGCAATGCATGCTCCCCCCGTGCCCGTGGCGAGGGCAGGACATCGAGAGGAGAAGTACAGTGTATACCTTCCAGAACGGTCAACCATGCAGAGTGATGGGAGAGTCCGATAGAGTTACCCGCCAAGCACGTATACTCCCCCGCGTCCTCAAAGGAGACATTCCTTAAGTGAAGCACTTCCATCTCTTTGTCGGTGGTATTAACTCCGGCAGTCTAGAAGAGACAATGGAAGCAAAATGGACAAGCACAGGACATGAGACCTCTAAGAGACACAGAGGAAGGGAGGAAGAAAGAGGGGGAGGGAATAACCAGAGGAAGAGATGCTCCCCAGCGTCTCCTTTGCAACAACGAACAAACAAAACCACCAGGCAGCCAGACCTGTTAGAGGAAGAGAGTGAGACCCTGAGGGAGGAACTCCGGCAGGCCTGAGACGACGAGGGCTGGTTACGACCCTTCACCAGACGCTGGCAGCCCCTGGCCCATCCAAGCATGCGGGCGGTGGGCAGCATGGAGAAATGGGGCCCGGCGGGTGGGGGGGGCTGTTTGGTTTCAGGCAGAGAAAGTCAGAGGGCACACACAGGAGGGATGAAGGGTGCTGCAGTCTCTCTCTCACGCACACGCACACACGTGCACCCACGCAGCCTGAGGATGGTGGTCTGCAAGGGAACGCCTGCTCCCTTCTCATACCCACCACTCAGACCTCCAGTGCGCACGATTACCAGTGCAGCAAGGCTGTCCCCGTGAATGCACACACAGCCAGGGGATACACGGAAGGCACAGAGGGAGCAGACACCAACACAGTACCAAACCAAACCAGCCTCCCAGGCCGGGTATTTTTCCATGGCTCTGGGCACTAGAAATAGAGCAGGGTAACAGGGAGAGTTGGGTGCTGGCTTCCCCACCTGCCCCAGCAGCCTGGGGTCAAAATCTAACTCCCAGCACAGGGCCCCATCCATCTCCCCGTTACCTTTTGCCTCAGGTCTGGTGACAGTGAGCCACGCAGACTGGTTAGCTTCACCAATATAATTGGAAACCTTACACACATACTCCCCGCTCTGGGCCTCTGTGACATTGAACAAGGTCAGCACTTCCGCATCCGAGCTATTAATCCCCGAATGCTGGAACAAACCAACGACACGCCAGTCAGTTGGGCAAACACCAGGACGTGGTCAATACTTTGCTCCCACGTAACGTGAAGGCAGGGAGCTAAGGCAACGGAGACGTGAAGTGAGATTTATCATCTTTCCCTTTCCAGGAGGACAAAGTAAGTTGTCTTCAAAAGTCCAAAGTATTTGACCACAAAATACTTTTGTATTTTAAACTAAAAAACAAAACAAAACAAAAAAAAATTCACTGCCCCCAGTCAAATGCTGTTTGTATTGAACCCACTCCGGTCGGATTAGGGCAGGGGCTGTGAATGGCCAGAGGCAGTGGCCAAGGTCCAAGGCCACAGTCCCATTTCCTACACCGCAGTGTCAGCACCAGTCGTGAAGAGAAGGGATGGCCAGTAAATCTCTGAGACAGCCAAGCGAGGGGAGGATGAGGTCTAACTCTGGGACCAGGAGGGAAACCACTTTCCCAGCTTCTGGTTACTTCCTGTTGCAAGATCCACTGGAGAATTAGGCAATTACCTTCCCTGGATTAATGGAGCATTCAGGGACAAGCAAATGGCTGGGAGTGAGAGGAAAAAGGAAGAAAATGCCATTACTCCTCATACTGCTTAGAATTTACCTGTGGCATTTGCTTTTCCAACTCTTCCTAAGCCATGCCCTTATCATTCATTCGCCCCACCTGCCAGAAGGACGTGACTGGGGAAACAGGGCTGAGACTGGGCAACGCTGGCTGGAAAGGCTTTGGTCCTGAGCAATGGAAAAGCAGGAGTCCAAACGCCTTCCTTGGGTAGCTGACTCAAAAGTTTGAGCAAAGTCACTCTGGAAGCTCTTCAGGAACCAGCAATGCGCACCCACCTCCCATCACACCTCCATGCTTGGACCTGTCACTAGTCCAGGGGAATGTGGCTTAGGTCCCTGTTGAAGATGTGTGCCTGAAGGGTAAAGGCCGAGTCCCAATCGTGGGCACTGAGCCTGGCCACAGCTACTTGGGTCCCAGGAAACGCTGGTCTCCTTCCCAGTGCCCAGCCCACAGAGACTGGGGTTAAGATTACCTTCAAGATCTGGACATAAGGCAGGTTGTCCGGACCAATCTTACTCCCGTTCACCTCGATGTGCTTTAGCCACTGGATGTGGGGCTGTGGGTCACTGTACACCTTACACATGAACTCCACATTGCTGCCCAGGGCCACTGTCTTGTTGGCAGGTAACCCTGCCTGCAGGATGGGACGGTGAGGGGACCGTTCTGTGGAGGGAGAGGAGAGGTTTGTCAGGTCCTACCATGGCCCACTCCTGGCTGGAATGGTGACAGAAAGCATCCCAAAGACCTTAAAGAGAAGTGCACCCCCCCTTGGCTTTCCCCATGTGGCCAGTGCACTGCCCAGCACCTCTGCTGAGCTCCTTGAACTTGAGCTAGGAGAAGGGCTGCCCTCTTGTCGAGACCTTCTTATAGGCCTAAGAAGTCCCTCTCGCCTTAATGAAGAACACTTCTTCATTAAGAATTTAGTCACACACTCAGAACTCAGCACAACCCACTTTTCCTTAACTAAAATTAGAGTCACTTAGACTCGTGTTGTTCCAAGTGCGGTCCAAGAGAAGAATGCCAGCGTCACGTAGGAGCTTGTTAGAAATGCCAAATCGCAGACCCTACCCCGGACCTCCTGGACCAGAGGCTACTTTTTAGACCATCTCCTCAAAACCAAGATAGGATGCTGACTGTGAAACTCCTTCCCTTACGATGCTTAGAATGAGATTCAGAATGTCTAGAAGGAACAGACTGTAGTAACGGCACCTCGTATCTCATGCAATGCCCCGGAGTCAGCACGGGCCCGGAGTTTTGCATGAACTACGTGCCTGACCTCCCTGAGCCCGGTTTGATCTTCTGTATGATGGGAATAATAGTACTGGCCTTGCAGGGGTGCCAGGAGAATGGCAGGTGATATGTTGAAAGTGGTTAGCATACTGTTGGCATTCATGAAGCAAGGGCTACTGTTGTGCTGAATTCAACATCACTACTCCAGTCACCCCTTGCAGGAGAGCATCAACAGCACCTCTCACTTTACAGTGAGTCACAGCCCTGTCTGATCCTCTCAACTCTATTTACGGAGAAGTGAGGCACAAAAGAGGAAAGTGACCTGCTTAAAACGACAGCTATAAGGTGCCTCCAGCATCATGACTCTGTCCCTAATTAAACCTGGGCCCCTGGGCTATTTTCTCAACACCCCTGCTCTCCTTCCTCCAAGCTCCCATTCCTGTCTCCATTTGCATCCTTACCCACAACGTCAAGCTGGTAGGTGTGGTTAATGCTGCCATACTCGTTTTCCACAATGCAGGTGTAGTTGCCCTTATCAGAAGGTACCACGGAGTCCATTATGATGCTCCAGGTGGCATAACGGACCTGAGGGAAACATGCCAAGGGGCTCCACTGAGGGTTTGGAGGAAAGTGCAGGCAGAAGCCGGCAGGCGGCGTTGGCGCCCTGTGGCACCTACCCTCCAATCTAGGCACAGGACACACGGCCCATGCGGCACCGTGAAACAGGACAAGGCTTGGCCTGCCACCCCCAGCCCATTCACACTTGGAAAGAACACGTCAGGCAAACTGGGTGTGGGGAACTCTGGACGGCTGCCCACAACAGCCAAGGTCAGCGCGATCTGGACAAATGTGCCTTCTGCACCAGGAGCTTTTCCAACCCTGCGCCCCACCCGAGCTGTTCCTGTGCGGGAACGGCTCCCCGCTAACACTCTGGCTCTGTCTGCCCTTGATGTCTCATCCGAAAAGCCATCGCCTCCAGCCCAATGAGTGGTCAGAATCGCTCTCACTGTCCCTCTGTACCTGGAATGAAGCACCGATCACAGCCTGCTTTCTGTGGCAGTGCTCATGGACGTCTGCCCTTTCGTGAGCCTGAAATTCTTTAGGGCAGGCGTGCTGTCTTGTACCACTCACAGCACAGCGCCTTGCAACGGCAAGTGTTGGCTGAATTAATTTAAAATGTTCCCCTAAAATGTCTTCTGATCTCCTCTGCTTTTCTTAACAAGATTAATAAGAAAAGAGCAGCTAAGTGAGATGGGAGAGAAACAGGGACTACAGGGATGATGACAGGCTCTAAAAAAGAAATCCTAATGAAGATGTTCTTTCTACAATGTAAATGGGCAAAGAACATGAACAATTTACAGAGCAGGAAACGGAAATTGTTTATTAACATGAGAAAACTCTAAGTCTGTTAATAAGCAAAAAAATGCACAAGAGAACAATGACATATTTTCACTTAATCAGATTTGTTGGCAAAGGTACAGGGAGCTTTATTTTCATACTCCGCTATGGGAGGGCAAATTAATTTTTCTTTTTTAAGAAAGTAATTGTTGGTTGGGGGGACTCAGTGAAAAAGGTGAAGAGATTCAGCGGAAAAAACACACAAAATATCTTACAGACACAGACAACAGTACGGTCCTTTCTGGGGTTGGGGGTTGGTGAGGGAGGCAGAAGAGAGTAAAAGGGGGATAAATGGTGATGGAGGGAGACTTGACTTGGGGTGATGAACACCCAATGCACTATACAGATGATGTGTTCCCGAACTGTACACCTGAAACCTGTATAATTTTATTAATCAATATCACCCCAATAAATGCAATAAATAAAAAACTAATTAAAAGAGTAATTGTTACCACAATAAAATAAAATTTAAAAATAAAATAAAACTACACCCAACTCATTACCCATATCATCCTCCATTAAAGCAAATATCACAATAAAATGTTATGTCTTCCAATTGTACTTTTAACTCTGTATTGCCTAGTATAGTTTCTGGAAAGTCATGTGTTCAAGAAATGTTCATTAATGATAAGTGAATGAATAAATAAAATTTACCTAATTACCAGAAAAAAAAGTAACTGAATAATATGCATCTAAGGCTTAAAAAATGCTCATACTTTGACCTAGTAACTTTACTTCCAGCAATCTGTCCTAAGAAAGAACATTTAAAAATGTCAACAAAGATTTACGTACAAAGATACTCACTGTGACATTAATTATAATATTGAAAAACTAGAAAACAACCAATAGCACAAAATCATCAAATTATGGGACAGTTTAATAATGGAATATTATGCAGCTGTGAAAAATTATCTTTAAAACACATGGCAAAAGGCTCATGTTGTAATGTTAACATGTGATAAAAAAAGTACATACGTGGTGTAATGGTTTAAAAACCATATACATAGGAAAAAGACCAAACGATTAAATTTTATTTGCTCTTTTTTATTTGAATTCTTCTGAAATGTATTACTTCTCTATAGTTAGAAAGCATTATTTGAAACAAGTAAAGGCACATAGTACGGATTTCCTAAGTCGGCTTCTCCTGCTCCTCTCCTCCAAGCTTCCCTATATACATACATACCTTATAGCCTCCAATCCTGTGGTCAGGTTTGAATTCTTTGCCATTTTTCAACCAGCGCAGCGTGGGGTTAGGAGTCCCGCTGGAAGGGCATTTGAACTTCACTGTCTTGGCAGCAGGCACTGCATGCAGTTTCTTCTCCATCTTTTCTGGGGATGTCCAGTATGGAGCCACGGCTGCCCAGGAAAAGCCAAGGAAGACAGGCAGGGGGCTGGTCAGGCTCAGGGGCAAGGGCCCAGCCAGGACCTGGAGGCACCCCGCCCACCTGCCCGATGCCTGTGAACAACGCCCGCACTGGTCAGGATGTCTGAGGTATCCCACTGCCAAGCATCATGACCCCACGGGCCTGCTCCTCCAACCACTCTCCAATCACCTGGGCTCCCGCTTCCCACCCAAACCCAACAGCCAGACCCAAAGGGCAGTAAGGTAGGAAACAGTGTCTCACGCATACGGTTTGGTTTGGTGTTATCTGTCTCTTTCTCCTCTGATGAGGAGTCATCATCGTCATCGTCGTCCTCCGAGGAGGGGAGAGCATCTATGAGAAGGAGAAGAGGCACTGAGGTCCCTCCAAGGGAGGAGGGGCTCCTAGATTTCCTCCCATATCAACAGCCCTTAAACATCAAGGCCAGTCCCATTATAGAGGACCACCAGCCCCTTCCCCATACTGAATCCCAGGCCGCTATTCCCTTAGTGACTGTCTCTCAGTGGGACGGAAACGGTTCATTAAGAACTGCACGCTCAGTGTTCGTCCCCTTCCTTCCCCCACCTACTGCACGGCCCCTCTCTGCCCAGAGCTCTTACACTTCACCAGGGCAGCAGGCCCTCTTTAATTGAATATCACCCTGCATTCAGAGGCTCGCCCCACCGATGGTACCAGCGGATGTGCTGGGTCTCAGAACTAGCACCCAGGGAACCTGTATCCGCCTTTGGCCTGCTAACCATTGGGAAATCCAGACAGATCTAGGCACACTGAGGCCAGAAGCTATTTCCAAAGCCATGAGCTGAATGACCTACCGTCGGAATTTTTCTAGCATGCATCTGCTAAGGTCTGGAAGCTGCCCTTTTAGCCAGAGCAGATTAGGGAGCCTACTACACAGCCCGCAGCTGCCAACACCTCTCCCCAGCACGTATGCACCCTGTTTAAGAGGCTCGACACACATGGGGCCACCATTCAGGGCTTCTGCCAGATCTTTCTCCAGTCCTTCCTAGTGTGTTTGGCGGTCTGGAGGGAAATAGACGAGGCAAGTCCCTGTTGGGGGCAGGTTCTACAGGACGCCTGTGCCGGGGAGGTGCCAAGCGTGCACCCTGAGATTCACAAACGGTATAAAGGAAATTTCAGCTCTACTTCGTTTCATCCTGCTTTTGTGAAAGTCGCATTGTAAAAGTGGCAGATCCCCGAAGTCGCAGAGCTCTAGGGTTTCCTGGCGACCCTGACACAGCTCCAGGAGCTGAGGACGGATGTCCTCCATAAGCCCTGCTGATACAGCGGTGCACCTGGGTCCCTCCCCGCCACAGCAGGGGCCGGCCTCACAGTGTGTTCTGGGGCTCTAATCGCTAAGCCAAGTATCGAGTCCAAATGGCAAGGGAGTGCCGGACGGAAGCTGGCTGAACCCTGTGCGGCACCCTGGAGACCCAGGCAAGCTGTGGTGGAAAAATCAGTGTTTTACTGCCCCAAGAGCGTCAGCCATCACCTCCGAGGCACACCTGGGACACCTGGGAAGCCTGGGGCCCACACCACCTGGTCACCCCTCTGAGAGCTAAGCCACGCGGCGGGCAGGGAGCAATGTTAGTGGGCAGCAGTTTCTGAAGCAGAATGGGGGCAGATCATGGAAGGGGAGGGGGTTCACCTCCCCCTGAAACTAGCAGAGAAGGTTGGAGGGGTGGATCCAGGGAGAGGGTGAGGGCAGGGCTTTGCTACCAACCTGAGACATTGACGGAGAAGTAGGTGGTGTCACTGCCCGAGGGGCTGCTGGTCACGCAAGCGTAGAGGCCGGAGTCAGCGGGCACAGAATCCCGCACCTCCACCTCCTCCCCTGTGATGCGGGTACGGTTGCTTTCCACCAGCTGTACCCCGTCCCGCAGCCAGTTGATGCTCTGGACATCGTCCCGCAGCCGACAGCGAAGCTGCAGCAGGTCACCAGGGTGGACCAGGAAGGACTCCACTTCCACAGGGGCTCCCCAGGGCTGGGCTGCAGCCACCCACAGGGGCCGGGGAGAGGAGCCAGGGGACCGGAGAGGAAGAGAAGGAAAGGGAAGGAGGGAGAGACAAAGGGCATTACGCTAGAGGCACTGAGCTGCCATGTCCCAGGGGCCACAGAGCTGGGGTCAGTGGGGAAACGGCTGGCTACCTGGGAACCCCCATCCCTTCTTGTCTACCCCCGTCCTCCAAAGGTCAAAGGAAGAAAGAGGCAAAGTTAGGAAGCAGCTGTAGCAGCATTAAGCGGTCCACATCTCACTCCCCTCCAACCTAGGGGGACAAGGCCGGCCTTCCCCAGACTTCTGTGCCCAGAGTGTCCCCTCCCCACACGCTCAGTTCTTTGCCAAGAATGGCCATTTCCCAGGGGAACACCCCATTTCTTTTTGGCTGGGTCAGCTTCGCCCCTTTCCAGAGTAACAGTTGAAGAAACACCACTCCTCAAAATGCCAGCCTCCCCCACCCCAATTGAGATGAGGCAATTTGTCAACCAGGCGCTCTCAGTCCGAGTGACTGCGGGGGAGGGTTCTGGCCCCCAGCGAGTCAGATGCATAAGATGCATATGGGGGAGAGGCAGCCCAGGCAGAGGTCAGCTCAGGGGAGCCTGTAGCGAACAGGTGTCAGGCCAGAGGATTCGGAGCTTTTGCCTATATTAGGGACGGAGGCCTGCAGCTGCCACCAAACCCACACTTGTGCTGGCAGCCTAAGCCAGTGCACACAAAGCTCTTTTCTCCTCCGCTCACTGCAGGGCTCTCCATCTCAAGCCCCCCGCCTCCTTCTCCCCCCACCCCCAACACACATGTCCAGCCTCCCTCACCTCTCTCTGCCCGAAGCCCGGGTGGTCCACAGCTCACAAGGTCTGACGAGACCGTGTCCACACGTCCGTCCCTCCCACGACCAACAACTCCGCACTCACTCACAAGACAGCCCGAAGCTGGAGCACACCATGCCAGGGCCCACCCCACCAGGCTGCTACCCCTGTCCTCTGCGACCCCTGTTCACTAACCAGCGGGAAACACAGATTCTGTTTCCCTTCGGGATGGTCAAGCGTGCTCCCAGCATCTACCGAGTGTCCACTGCCACCAAAAGAAAGTGCCCGCGGCAGCTCAAATCTACTACTAGACTTGGTCTCCACTGCTTTGAGAAGCCTTAGTTCACACCACTGGTTCACCTGCAGAGGCTCGCCTGGGGCTCTCTCACAGCCCCCCCCCCCACCCCCCGTCGTCCTGTAGGGCCACGGCTCTGCCTGGAGCTCTCTCTCCACCCGCTCCCAGACCCACCCCCCTCCCCTGCCCCCAGCCCCCAGGTCTCAGCCCAGCTGGCAGCTCTGCCTCAAAGCCTCTTCCGATGGACCAGACCGGCTCCCAGTTGGGGCCGGGTGCCCTCCCACCGCACCTGTCACACTGAAGGAAAGCCCCTTCCAACTGAGTTGGCGAGGGTGGGGAAGTGTCATATTTACCTTTAAATCCCCAGCACCTAGTATAGTGCCTGGCACACAAGAGTTGTCCGATAAATACTTGCTGGATAATGCAATAATGACATAGGCGCAGTCACACTGTCTCTTCATGGTCTTCCTTTCTAAATCCCCTTTTCCTCATTTTAAAGAACTCATCTGAAGTGCTAAACAGGCGTCCGCTAGAAACCTTGCAAATGAGCTAGAAACCTTGCGAATGAAGACAAGTGACTCCAGGGTGTAATTTTCTTGGGAGGGGGGGTGCGCCTTGAATGAGGCTTGGAGCCAAGGCTGCAACCCAGGGCTCTATCTTGAATATTGGGTAAGTACTGAGTCATCCAAAGGGGGGCGGGGTGCTGCCTTGAAAGGGTCTGGAAACCACTCGGTTAGTATTCATTTATTTTTGTGAATCGGGTCAAGAACACCAACCACAAAGGTGAGCAGACCACACAACTGATTAAAAATAAGCTTTTGTGGGTCCTTAAAAACAAGTTATTCTTTGCATTTTTAATGGTTTGTGGTTTTGCCAAAAGAAAGTAGAAGGCAGTTAAGACCTGATCCTTAAGGAAGCAGCAGATACTCCTAGTGATCCAATCTTGTTTCCCTTCAATGACCTTACAGATTAAACATTTTGCAGCTCATGATCTGTACCAGCCATTGGTCAAAAAGTAATCTCAGTAAACTCAAATTCTTAGCTTCTGGCATCACAGCCTATTTTAACAGATCCCAGAGACAAAACGGTAGCAAGGAGAACATGGGCATTTCCCCAGGAGAAAGCAGCAAAGGGACCCTGCCCCTGCTGGGACCAGCTCTTGCTGACTCTGGCTTGGACCCCTAATTTCCCACTCAACTCAACTGAGACATGCAAACAAAACTCCTCTACATGATCTATTAAAAGCCTCCAAACCTGCTTTCTTTTTACGGCCCCTGGAGTTCAAACTTACCCTGATGCTCCAGGCTGTACTGTGCTGTGAGCATCTATTCTCCTGATCGAGATCCTACACTGTGTATTGGAGAAAACCAAAGCCCTGCTTCACACCCAAGGCTCCTCACAATCCGCTCCCACCTCTCCATGCAACCTTCTTCTCCAGGTCTGGCTATTCTCTGCACCAACTGCATTCTCCTCCGACAACCAAACCGACTTCTGCTCAAGCCTGTTGGCCATCTCTCCAGAGCCCTCCTACCCGACCCTAGTCCAAGTGCACGCTCTGCGGCATCCAGGAAGCCTCTTGTTGCCGCCAGCGTCTCTACCCTGATTTTCTGTAGAACAGTTATTGTCTGAGCCACACAAAATTGTACTCAATTGCATATCACCTTGTGTGGTTTCTTTTGTAAACAATTTCATTGAGATACAATTCACATATATTAAATCCACGCATTTAGAGTATATGGGGTGGGCCAAAGTAGTTTTATAGTTGTTTATATGCAAAATAATACAGTAATTAATAAATAATACAAGAATAAACTCTATTGCATGTACTCACAACTGCAGACCTATTGTGACCCACCCCTGTATAATTCAATGTTTCTATATTCATAATTCAATGAATATTAGAATAAACTAATATTCAGTTATGTAACCGTCACCACCGTTAACTTTAGAACATTTTTATCACCCCAAAAAGAAACCCGGTGCATCTGCAGTCACTCACCATCCCCTCCCTCAGTCTAGGCCTTCCCCAATCTGCTTTCTGTCGGCACAGATCTGCCTATCCCAGATATTTCCTATCCGTGAAATCCTACAATATATGGTCTTTTATGACCAGCTTCTTTCAATTAGCATGTTTTCAAGGTTCTTTTATGCTGTAGCATGTCTCGGTACTTAATTCCTTCTAATGGCCCAAGTAATAGTCCATCGTATGGGGAGACCACATTTTATTTATCTATTTGTTGATTGATGGTCAGTTGGGTGTATTGTTTCCTGTCAGAAGTGTCCACGCCTCACCCCTCCTGAGATACAGCAAGTAACTCAGGACAGAATTGACTATTAGAATTTTCCCACGGTGCCTAACAATGTCCGAAACATAGAAAGTACTCAGTGGGTCTTGAATTGAATTTAGCATCTGGCAAAAGCTAATTTTTAGAGGAAACAAACAACTGGCCTATGGCCATTGGCTTACAGTGCATTTTTTCATGGCTAATAGTGCTCCTGGATGTCAAAGCCTCCTTTTACAAAGCAGGGATAATGCTACTTTCTTCTAGGAGGTGATGGAAAGGTCACCAACCACGTACTGGTCACCAGGCCCTGCCCATCTGTGTCACCGCCCTGAGTTTCAGTCCTGACCTGAGGCAGTTTCTGTGTGCGGTGGCTGACGCGAGGCCACCACTGCTCACTGGCAGCCTGCAGCAAGGAAGTCACTGACTCTCCTTGCTCTTTTGGTCTTTGCACTGTCCCCATTTCTGCCCTCCCTGGAAAGGCACTTGCATCTGTGGCTCTATGTCCTCTGAGCTGGCCTTTCTCTGGTCAAGACCAACGGTCCCGGGCTATGCTTGTTGTTAAGTATTAGTTAGCAAGAACAGAGCTAACTGACACTTTTATTGGGCTGGCCATAAAACACAAAGGAAAGAAAGCCAGTTTATTGCTCAGCCACTTGAAACCAACCGTTCCAACCCTTAGAGAGCCTGATTAATTGGAACGGGGATGCTGCTGCCGGGAGTGTTTTGGCAAACTGAACCACTCATTTTACTCTTCTTGTTTCCTGAAAGACGAGGTGGGGAATGGAAGCTGGAAGACACTTGGTATCTGGGTTCCGTGGTGACCTAGTCGAGGGCTGAAGATGTTTGGTGTGAGTCAAGTTACAACATTCATTCATTCTTACCGACTCTAGGTATAATGTGTTCAAAGTGCATTGTGGGGGGAAAAGGCCCACAGCACAGAGTGGCTGTTACCTTCACTGGGAGTGGGGAGTTGAGGGTTGGGGTGAGGGCTTGATCTGAACATCCATAGAAGATGAAGCCTCGGAGGACTCTCCAGTAAAGAGGAGAGAACAACCCCCCTTGCTTAACAGCTCGAGAGTGAGACCGAGGCGGCCTCTGCTCCTGAGGCAGCTCCCTGAGGCAGGTGGGCTGGGGAAGGCAGTGAGGGTGGTGCGGGCACCCGTCAGTGGGAGGAAGAGGTGTTCGTGTACCGGCCTCTCTGGCCCCTCAAGGGAATCTCGGAGTAGATGGGGGACCCACACTTCTTAATAATCCTCAAGGAAGCAGCCGGAAAGACAGAGAGGTGGGGATGGTGTTTCCCATGGTGTCCTCAAGTCTAGGAACATGTTCCGTGTCGATGGAGCCCCGCCGAATCCCTTTCTCTTCCTACTTTCTTCCAAAACACCACAGCTTTGTCATCCGCAACAAGCCAGCAGCATTTTGCCTCTGTCAGGACTAGCCAGAAACCCGCCACAGTCACCAGGCCGGCAGTCCTGCCCTGGGCACATCAGGGCAGCTGCAAGGTCTTGATTCTCAACCTCTGTGTCTTCTGCCGGCCATGGGCATCAGGTGCGGTGGCGGAATGACGCCCTCAGGGGTCCCAAACCCACACAAATCTGTTCTTG